TCGAAATGAAAATTAATAAAAGTTAATTACACCCATGAACCGTCCAGAATAAAAGAAAAAGGAAAAAGAAAGGAAAAGAAACGCAAAAGAGAAAAAGGAAAAAGGAAAATTTTGTTAATCGAATCTTTCGTTTTCCTCTTCAAAACCTTAGGGTTCTCTTTTTTATTCCTTTTCTTTTGCATTCTCTTTCTCCAATGGCGACCCAACAGAGCAATGCAGCAACAGCTACAAAACTAGGGCTAAGGAAACCAGTCTTCACCAAAGTGGAGCAGCTGAAGCCGGGGACAAGTGGCCACACTTTGACTGTTAAAGTGCTCTCTTCCAACGTTGTCTTACAAAAGGGTCGATCCGTTTCCCAACATCTCCGCCAAACCCGCATCGCCGAGTGCCTTATCGGGGATGAAACTGGTTCGATACTCTTCACAGCTCGTAATGATCAAGGTATCTTTTAAGTTTTTTTGAATTTTAAATGTCATGTCTTTTTATTTCATTTTATATAAGAATTTTTTGTCTTTTTGGTCTTTATGTGTGTTTTTTAATGCGGGTTTTTAATAAAGATGTGGTTTATGTGGGTATATTTTCTGAAATGTGGTTTCTTCATATTTGAGTTTATGTAAAAAGATGGGTTTTTTGGTGTATATATGTGGTTTCATTATATAAAATGATGGGCTTTTTTATGTGGGTTTTGAATGAGTATGTTTTCTATAGGCGGTGTTTTGTGACATGGGTTTTGTTTGTTTGGTGGGAAAATGGAAAAATGAGAGGGGAAAAGAGGGCGATGGGATTTGATGGGGAATGTGGGAATGAGGTTTTAAAGTTTGGGGGACATCAAAATTATCGATGTTTTTGTTTTACTTTGTTTCATGTGCATCATGTCGGAAATGGATGTCGGAGAGAGAATAAAAAAGGAATGGAAAATGGAGGTGATTGGAATTGGGAATGAAAGTTTTGACTTTTGGTGCTTTGATTTTTGAAGCACTTGTGTGTGAACAAGGTTGTGTATGTTGATGAGAATATGGATAAAAAAAGTGGGGAAAAGGAAGGGAGTATGAGCTCTTGGCGTCCTGTTTTTTGAGATTGGTATAGGAGGAAATTAAAATAGAAAATGTAGTTAACTTTAATGAGAATGAATGAGCTTCCTAATACTTGTGAAATTGTTTTTGTTATGTGGGACATTTGAAGTGAAGAGAAGGAAACAGAGACGATCCTATTTAATGCTTATGCTATATAATTTTTCATTTTTTATAATTGGGGGAGGGGGGATTCGAACCCTGCTCTTTAAGCAGGGAGGATAATGCACCAACCAATGAGCCAAATGCTCGGGTGCTTATGCTATATAATTTGGAAAATAGGAAGTTCATAACTTCAATCGAGCATATTTAACAGTAAACCATGGAGCTTTTGTTCTGGCGTAGTTTACCATGTAACAGTAAAACCATGCCCATACTTGAATCTGCTAGTGGTTTGCCCTTCTCTCCCTTACACGGTGCTCGCTAGTGGTTTTCCCTTCTCTCCCTTACATGATGCTTGCATCTTTAGTGGCAAATCCTACAACCAATTCTGTGAGGAGCTAACCTATTTTGGTAACTCGTTAAACCTATTCTATTGGGGCAAGCTGTTAGCTTAACAAATCAAATTAGATTTCTTTGTTTAGAATTTAGGTTATAATAGTAATTTGGTTCAACATGAATTGACAAAGTAGTTTTATAATCGCTACGATCCAGCAACATTAACTCTAGTTCAATTCTTTATAGCGTTTTTGCCTTAATAATGAGTGATTGGCATTTCCTTCCCTTCTTTCTCATGTGACAGAGCAGATAAGGAAAACAGAGGATCGAAATTACAAATTTTTTTTTGTGTGATTTCTTTTCTGGTTGTGAAAGAAAAATGAATGGAGATTGCATTAGTCAAATTAGCTTAACCGAACCATCTAATTGGGTGCAACCATCTAATCATGGATATTGTATTTTATCTATCTTTGTTCACATTTTGGGTTTCAGTTTTTATTTCTTATATTTGGTTGGAGATTAATTTGTTGGATTAAATTGTTTTATTAGCTGCTTGTCCACTTTGATGTGTTTAAACTATATGGAAAGGAAGAGAGCCGGCATCTCAGTAGTAGTTCAAACTTTATATTGTCTTTTGTTTAAACTCTGAATTAATTAAAAGGAAAAAAAAGAAAGACTTCTATGGTTATAGAATTTTGAGTAATCCACTTGAAGTTCAGCCCAAGTCAACCATTCTTTAATGTGAATAGTTTGTTAATTATGATTATGGAAGGTGTTGAAGAGTTAAGGTATATTGGTAACTATGTCTCCGAAGTCAGTGTTCTAGCATCATAACTGTTAAGCTAACTCAAGGCTGTAAGTTGTTACGACCTTTATTATCAATGAGTGTGGACATTCAATCTTACAGTGATCCCTTGGTCTTCTGATGATTGATGTAAATCTGAAATGTCATTTAACATTCCACTTTGCTTGTTATAACTTCTGCTCTAATTTAAAATAATAGATGTATGCATATATGTGCAATTATATGGAATGTGGTAAACCATACTGCAGTGACTGTTTGTGTTGTTATCAGACCACTACTTAGGTTCATGTTGTCTGTGAGGATAAATTTATACATATTCCACATATGTCTTGATTCGTTAGAACTTAAAATAGAAGCATCATGCAAAATGCTTTATATGGCATGTGGAATCTGAGGTTTATTTATTTTATTTAATCGCTGTCTTTCAATTTGGTTCCGTTGTTAACAACCTTGTTATATGTTTAGTTGATCTGATGAAGCCAGGTGCTACTGTTATTCTCCGCAATGCAAAGATTGACATGTTTAAGGGATCCATGAGGCTAGCAGTTGACAAATGGGGGCGTGTTGAGGTCACCGAGCCGGCAAAGTTTGTAGTCAAGGAGGATAACAATCTCTCTCTAGTTGAATATGAGTTGGTGAATGTGGTTGAGGAGTGACAAGGTCTTATAATATTCTATATCTATGGAAGAAGAGTAGCTTCATAATTGTCAAAAGCTGTGATGGGTAGTTTCTTCTAAATTTATGCTAATGTGATAGTTCTGCAGTTTCATTTTACTTTGTGAATGGTATATGTAGTTTGGGTGGCTAATAGATATGACTAAACCAAAAGTTATGCAGTCTTTTTTGTTTAATATGACTATCAGAAGTAGGATTTGTTAGGTATTGGCAGAAACAGCTTGGAACTCTGCTTAAGTTGGAAATATGAAAATGTTAATGATATATTTTTTTCTGGTTTAAATTTTCATGCTTATCTCTAATTCTCAATCTTTTTTATGTCTGAAACATAAAGTATGTTGGCAGTATCCAGCACTGTCAATTGCTTTGTTTGATGAAAATCAACCATTGGGATGGTAACCAAGTTGGGATTAACTTAGAAATTTTAACAATTGTTACAGTGAAAATAGACATGGTGTGGATTCACTGTTTAAGTGTTTCTTAGTTTCAAGTCAGATTAGGGTTAATATTTGATGCTCAAATAGTGTATTTTTATATTATTTTTTTATTAAAAAAAGGAGGATTCGAATTTTATTTTCTAGATAAGAGATAATGTGTTAATCAATAAGTCAAATTTTCGAATAAAGTGTCATTTTATTATAAAAATAAATTTAAAACTTTTAAAGATTTAAAAATAAATATTAATATTTTTTAAAAAATACATAAAAAATAAAAATAATTTTTTTATCTCTTCTCCACCATTGGAGTTGCAAAGTCTTTAAGAATTTAAAGATTTTGATATTTCTCTTGGAGACAAATCAAAATTATTTGGATGTGATGTGTTAATTATCAACAATCTAATAAAGAGTAAACTCCTTATATTTTACCAATGATGGGTGGAGACAAGCGTCAACCTATGCTTAACAATGTGAGTGCCCATGGGTTTTAATTGACTTTAACCAAATGTGGATTGATGAGGGATAAAGAAAGAATGATAAGAGAGCAATTTTGGCAGAACTTACTGTATTACTTATTGTTTCTTGATTTATTTTATTGAACCTAATCAATCTCATTTCATGGCATAGCTGCCATTGCTGCAATTTCCAATTACGGCTATAATCCATAACTTAACTGAGAATCAAACTATTAAAAAAGAAGTAGTAACATCAATTATAATGATAGGGCTTTTGAACTCAAATTAATCTTCAGTCAAAAGTATTTAAAAAACGAAGAGGAAACATTGTTTATACTAGGGCCCCTAGCTAGAACTTTTGCCTTCGTGAATGAAAATTTCTCTAGTTTGCAAGAACTTATATATACTGCTAGGCTTTCCTTCTATGCATAAACAGCTAGATTTTTACCCTTTGTTTGCTTTTGATGTAATTGTCCTTTACATGGCAACGAAAAGATCATAAATATGCACAAACATGCATAGAAATATATAGCTGTATTTATACTATTCTTAATGCTATTAATTATTTCTTATGTTATGATATGATTGGTATTTTGGGGAATTAAGTTCTTTTTTAGAGTATATAATGCATATTTTCTAAGGTTTAATGAATAAAATAAGGTTTTTCCATTTTAGTTGTAGATGCGCATTAACTGTTTTTATATTTAGTGTTAAGGTGTTGTGGACTTTTATTTATACTTAATCTCGATTTATATTTTGTGTTGGTTTCTAAGGTATTACAAGTGATGAAATAGCTTCGTTTTTGTTTTCTCAATTTAATTGGTTCAACTACAGACTTATTTATGTATCAACTTATTGATACGTAATAAAATTGGATTTTGTTTGACCAAAAAATAATTATGAACTACCTATTATTATACCCATAATTATGATATATTTACAAATATAAAAGACCTAAAAAGAAAATACTTGAGTAAGATGAGTAGTTATAAAATTCAATTTAGAATTTAAAATAGAAGCATTCTCTACCTTTATAAAAAAAAAATAGAATTAAGACTTTGAACCCCTCAATATAATTTATTAGCTAAAAAGATTTAGAATATTGGTGTCATATGTTGGAATATGTTATGAGCAATAAATTTCATTTTGCCTAACTTACATTTTTGGTTTTCTCCTCTGTCTCCTTTAATTTAGTTGCTTTGCTATTCTAATAACTTAGGGTTTTCATTTAACTTAAACATTTGACTTCATTTTATGAATGTTAAATAAATTACTTACTTATTAGTATCAAATAGATGTGTAAATTGAAATAAGAATTTTAAGAAAATTTGATCCTATATTAGATAGGAAATTAAGATGAAAAGGTAAAAGTAAAGTAACTAATTTGATCCAATTGTATTTTCATGGCTTCCCCTTCTTCTTCTTTGTTTTTTATTTCATTCTTTTTATGATCAACCTTAGTGTGACAATGGCATGATATTATTTTCCATGGACAAACATGTGAACAACAACATTGCAATATAAATAGAGATCTAAGTCAATACCTTAATTAACATTTGCTTACTGTTTTTTTATGTCAAATTGAAGTGTTCAAATTACAACAAAAAAATGGTTCATTGTAGAAAGAAAAGTCAATCTTCCAGCTAGTCTTTCGGCAACAAAAAAATAACTTTTTGAGGTCGAAAATGAAAGCCCTTGTTGTTGCATAATATCAAGAAAATCAAACCACCAAGACTCGAATAAACAGCAAATCAAATATCAGTCTAAGGGTAGATCCTAAACCAAATCAAGAAGAGATATCCCGTAGATTATTTCAAACTTTGCCGGAATCCGAAAACAGTCATAACTTGTTCCTTAAACCACAAATACATATACCAATCTTTCAAGGACTCATGTGGTTCATATCAATGAATCTGAGGAGATGTTGAGAAAGCTTTAGCTAGGAGTAGTCATGGCAAGTTGCAGGCCATTAGGGTTTCTACTAGGGCTGCCCTTTGCTTTTCTTAGTTTACTTCTCTCCCTCATCGGGGCTATCATTTGGATTATTGGGTAAGTTTCACTTCCATTTTCCTCTCATTTATTCTTTATTTTTCTTCAAATTAATGTTTGTTTCTGGCCTAGTTTGTATGAACTTGGAAAACCTTACTCCAAGTTCATATAGGTTTCATGTTTCATTTATTAGTATATTGCTTCAAGGCTTGCAGCTCATATAGTTCTTATAATTCCTCATGCAATGCTTTAAGAATATTTATATAGATATAATTTCTACATTAATTTCTCCTTAATAAAGGGGGCAAAAATTAAATCATAAGCAATTGATCCAGAAACCAATTGATTAATGTTCTGATATCCTAAGATTGAATTAATTCTCCACAACTTTTTATCCATTGTTTCTATATTCTTAGGCAGCCTTTTATACTTTGTTTTGGGTGTAGCTTTAATATAACTTTGTTGTTGCTAGTTCTACGTTTTGAGTGTGATTAAGTCTGATTTTGGTGCCAAATGATTTCCTTTTAATTTGTTTTATTTTATAAGGTGTTCTAACAGTCTCTTATTGGGATGTTGATAAATTTGCTTTCGATTTGTCTAGTTTTAATATAAACTCGACTTGGTATCAATTTTCTGATACAGTAATAAATGAATCCATTTGATTGAAAAGAAAAAACGTTTGATTATTTCCTTCTCCCTCTTATATGATTTAAAGTTAATTTTTTATATTGCATAAATGAATATGAGATTTAATTGTTCAAATTAAACTTGAAGGAAAAAGCTTTAATTAATTTTTTTCATTTTTGAGGATTAATAATTAATTTGTACAATTAAATTTCTTAATTCTTTAGTGAAAATTATAACTGGCAGGTCAATATTCAGTTGCCTGTGCCCCTGCTGCGCATGTTGTGTTCCAATAGTAGATATGGCAATGAGCATTGTGAAGCTTCCTATAACAATAATTCAATGGTTTATTGATCTAATTCCTTGTTGAGCCTTTTCCTTTTCATTTTTCATTTTGTAACTTAGTTTAGTTTCTATATGTTGCACTGTCGAACTAGCTAGCCTTTGAAATTTTGATGCATTATTTCCTTTCCTTTTCCTTTTTCTTTTAATTGTATAACGTTTTTTGGAGTCAAATTAGAACAGATCAAAGAGAGAAGTAACTGTTACATTTGGATACCAAAATAAACTATAAATGGTGATCATTCGAGTGTAATCTTTTATTGAAACAACTAAAAGTTTATCTAACACATTACAAAAATAAAACCCTTTCTCAATGACAATTTTCCATCAAAAAAAAAATTCGTCAACCATTAATGTGTATTGTTATTAATTCCTTGGATAATAGTAAAAATTCCATTTTGTGCACACTTCATTGAAATTACATCAAAATTTTTTGATGAAATTAATTATGCAAAAAATATTATTTTTTGCCAAGGTTATTATTTTATAATATAGTCTTTTATTATCGTATGTCGAAAATTTTATGAAAATAAAGTGTAGACATTTTGATTCAAGAAATACATGGTTGAATGAGAATCTACAAAAGGTGCCACATACACCGTATTATGTTCAAAAAATGACTTTTCAAAGTAAGCAAAAGACCTTCATGATTTACTTTTAATATAATTTGAGTGCAATTTTTTTTTTTCTTTTTGTGGTGAAGACTAGAAATTTGAACAAAATTGGCACCGTCTTGGGGGCATCAGACCAATTTTGTACTTGCTCTTTTATATTTCATACGATATCGACTAATTTGGACTCAAACACATATGGGGAAACAGAATTTGCCCCACCAGTTTCACCTTTGTCGATCAAGACCAAACCTCATGTCTTATTTTGGACTTCATTGATATCAAATCTTATCTTCTCGAATCCTTTGCATGAACAAAATAATTTCTTATTTAATTAAATTTTTTATAAAATTATCTCTTATTATGTAATTTATCATCGTATATCAAGGAAGATTTGTTTATATTTTTTATATGATATGAACATTTATGAAACAAAAAAGAGTTAGTTTTCATCGTATAATTTAAAATTGTAAATATAAAATACAACTTCTTATCAAATAAATTTTTACAATGAAATTCCTATTGGTCTCACAAAAGATGAAAGCCTTTGATAAGCATTCATTCAGAGACTCCAAATACTCCCAAAAATCAAGATGAATTATGTGCAACAGCTTCTCATAGAGAAGAAAAAGAAAGAATCCCATAATTTCATAGGCAAGGATTGAGTAACAAAAGTGGGCCTAAGTCATAAAGTACAGTGTCTCTGGGTCGGAATTAATTGAAAAACCTACACAGGGAAAGAAGAAAATCCACTGTTGAAGATACACCATCGACTAGTCTTGAAAATCCATTGTATCTCTTCATAGAATTCGAGTTGGTGTTGCAGAGGAGGAGAAGCTCGTTGACAGCTCAGAAATTTAGAAAATGGTCATTTTTGTGGACAGGGGGTGCCTTTCCTAGTGAAACTGTTGCCCTTTTTTTTGACAAGTCTTTGTCAGCGACGAGGGGATGCACTGGCGACAGTGGATCAACTCGGTCCATCTATTCACAACCATTCATGAACTCTTTTCTTCCTGCCCCTATCAAATTTTTTGTCCCATATAGCAATGGGAAAAATGCTTATGAAAATAAGTTTTAATCATGTCGGACACCAACATCCAATTGAGTTCATGTAGCATGATCCACAAAAAAAAGAAAGAAAGAAATTCAATATCTAACAAATGATACCCATACTGTTTCATTTTTATCCTTATCCTAATAAAGTTTGAAATTTTTATTATCAGTTATAATTCTATTACGCAAGTATACGTATCAAATAGATAATATATAAGTAAACAGAATATCGATCCCACAAAAAATTGATTTAAAATTTTACTAAGTACTAAAATTAAAACAATTTAATCTTACGCAAACAATTAAATTCAAATAACTAAAAATAATTAACTAAAATTTAAACTAAAAAAATCAAAATAATTATAACTCAAGTAAATATTAAATCAAACAAGTCTCGTATTACAATATTCTTCACACTTCATCTAAATTTTACCTCTCTTTCTTAACTTATTTTAATGGGTTGAATCGCTAAACTAGAGTCCTAAATTATTTATAAGGGTCTCTCGATACATCTTATAAAAATATTTATTTTAATCAAAACACTATATCCCAATGTAAATTAAAATTAAAATAGATTTAGTAAGTTCAGGTTCTAATCTAGCTACATGTGATTTATAAGTATTTCCCTATCCTATAAGCAAATCAATTAATATGATCATATGTTATCTTAATTTTAGTTACACTAAACTCCTTTACCCAAGTTTGATTAGGTTCCTAAATCAATTTAATTGGTGGCCAAGCTATTAAAAACATTAAGAACAAATTGAAACAAACAATTCAATTCCATTAAAAATAAGTAAGAAAGAGATTAAAAATTCATATTACATGTGAATTTAATTGCAATTCTAAAAAAAAAAATTAGTTACTCATGATTGCAAAGACAAATAACATTATATAAAATTCAACCATTGCGAGTAACAAGAAAAGTAAAAGCTAAGGAAGAAAACAAAACAAATATTTTTAGTTTTGCTCTCTAAGTTTCAGCCTCAACTTCTAACTTCTTAAATCTCTAAAAGTTGTATGTCCTAATTTTTAAAAAAAATCCTATTTATGCTAATAAACTTAACTTATAGTTTCCTAAGTTGACCTAAAAAGGCCCAATTATCAATTATCAGTCTTTAAAAGTTACAATTCTCACCACAGTACGTCCAGCCATTTTTTGACTTGATTTTCTCTATCTTTGAGGAAAAATTAGGTAAAATGATCTTATCAAAGTTGTAACTCTGTCTCTTAGCTTTCCAATAGTCCAAGAATCGCATCATTTGGAGTTTGTAGCACCAGTTATGGGCAAAACACTGATGCATATGCAAGCAGACTTCCAAATCTTCTAACACCTTATTTTCCAAAATTAAACTCAATTTCTTTAGTTCTTGCAAAAAATATAAAAAAACTAGTAAATAATAACCAATTTAAAAGAAATAACATAAAATTAAAATAACTCATTTAAAAATAAACTAATTATAAAAACAACTAAATTATAATTAAAAATTAAGAACTTAATTAATATTTAATAACAAAAGTAAATTAAAATAATTTTATAAAATAAAATTATTATTTATCTATAACTTTTTTTAATCCATTTCAAATTCATGTATGCATCGACAACATTGTTATAATTTAAAAACATTAAAGATGTGTTGATGTTTACTTAGACTGTAGATGCACATGTTACTATTCTGTTCTTATGTTGATAGTGTGTTGACAAATTTTGGATGAAAACTTTTACAACACATATTAAAATTAATGGTAAAATATCTTGATTTTTTTAAGTTTTGATTGAAATTATACAAAAATTTACTAGTTTCAAAATAGACACTCTGTCCCAAAATTAAAAACACGTAAACAAAAATATTGAAAAGACAAAAATATGTTTTTTATTAATTTAAAATTTTATTATTATGTTTTTTAAAAAATAAAGAGCACTGATCCCAAGAAATGGGAGCATCGGGGCCAAAGGAAGGGAGCATTGGTGCTCTCCAATGGGGAGCTTTTTTTAATAAAAAAATTATATAATTATACTTATGAAAATTAATTAGAAATAAAATTATCTTTCTATTTTTACCACGTCGGCAAGTTGATAAAAATAGTAACAATTGATTAATGGCTAGACTTACGTGTCTAATGAAAAATATTTTTTTAAAATAGACTATCTCATTTCAAAAACTAATAAATCTCCGAGTAATCTTGATAAAAATTTAGATGATAGGGTATTTTACTCTAAAATGAAACAAAGGCATCAAAATTCTAAAGTATTAATTAAGGGAAAGTGACCTTGACATCTTATCAGAAGAATATCATAATAAAAATAAAATTTATCTGGTTTACATTACTCTTCTTGACCTCTGCTGTGTTTCACGTTTATGCAAATTTTAGTACCCATCAAGTTGGAGGGCTATATGCAAGTTGACCCGGTTGAGCTAGCTTAGCTTCCTCGTTTATGCATAGAGGGGTGGATGGGTGAGAAGCAGTCAAAACCTTTGAATACACACAGTGCAGAGCATTGAAAAGTTCACCAGAACCTTGACAAAAAAATTTTGGTCTTACGGAGTTTCAAGAAGGGAGGGAGGCCCCAGGGGCGAACATCACGATTCACAGGTTCATGAACAGAGCCTTCAACCACCAAATCATCCAAATGTAAGTGTGGGGAAGCCTGCTGCCCTCCTAAAGGACACAAGTTTTCAATTTGATGTAACCCCAAAGCAACAACGGATTGTTGACAAGGGGTTTTTCAGGATTTTCTTTCATCAATTCCTGAAAGAAATATAATTAGTTTTTGGCTTCAAAGGGTTATACACAATTATTTTGCTGTGTCTAATTTGGAAAACCCTCTTATATTGTCTTCTTAAGGTGGCAAGAAGACCAAATTCATGCACTCAACCTGTTACAAAGATCTGGTCCCATGGCAAAAGTTAGTTCATCTTTAGGGATACAAAAGTTTTTTAGTCTTCTGATTGAAGAGATTTAACAGCTTCTTGAATGCAAACCCAAGTTGCCACATTCATGCATTTAGTCTTATGATATGATCCTCATCCAACAAACAATAAGAGGTGACAAAAATTGTTGGCAAAGATATGAGACATTTTCTTTTATATATGATAAAACTTGGTGAAAATCCCATTCATGTTTTCTGTCGGCTGTTATTCAACCTATAATGTTTTCTGTGGGGGTCTATGAAGCCTGGCGTTAAAATGGCTTAGGCTCTAGGGGTTCAAATTATTGGTAAATGCTAGCTAGTATAGTTTTGAATTTTATTACTTGCAAACAAAAATTGTCCTCATACAATGACAAACACAAGGAAACTGATTTTTTTTAAATTTTTTTTCTTGATACATATATTACGGAAAAAAATTAAACGAAAAGAAAAAATTCAAATCCTAAATAACCCGAATTTCTTAAGTGGGTATGTAACAAATAATATAATTATTATGTCAAGTTATTAATCCCAATTATTCTTGCAATTACTTTTTTAAAGGTCATTAATTGATGTTAAGGCTAAGAAATAAGCTAAGGTTCTCTCTCTCTATCTATCTATCTATATATATATATATATATATATATATATAATATCATCTTTGTTTTCCCAATCTAAACTTTCCCTATAATTCAAAGGCTATACCAAAACTATTGCCTTAAATAGAAAATATATGTGATGTAATTAGTTAGCAGAAATATGGAAGGTGGCATTTAATTGTACCTTCGAGTCCTTGCAATATAACCAATTATAGTATGTTGCTGGGCCGCCGGCGCTGATCAAACTTGGGAGAGGTCTGACAGTCAATTATCAACAACTGCGAAGACCTTCCTTTGCAGCTGTTGATTTCTTTCAAACTTGTATGCATGTGTGTGTATATACTATAATATATATATATATATATATTATTCTAATATGAAGCAAGTGGGTTTTCTTTGGTAAGACTTTTCCTTTGTTTTATTGCTTTGTTTTCTACTTTGAGAAAGTGGAAGGATTTTGAGATAAGCATATGTAACTATGAGGCTGTGCTTCTTATCACACTCACATTGCTCTATATTACTTCTCTTTGTTTGAAGTGCTACAAATTGTGCAACAAAATATATACTATTTTTTCCAAAGGACCTTGAAGAATATGAAAATCTAATAAGATGATAAAAAAAGGAGTAAATATAAAAAATTTTCTATGATCTTATCAAGAACCTAATACAAGAAAATATATATTGTTTTTATAAAAGATTAATTTATTTCACATCAATCGTTAATAAGATTTGTATATGGAAGACAACTATAAACCTACATGAATGTTGTTGGATGTATATCTATACTTGGATTCATTTTAGATATGCCTTGCAATCAAATTTTAAAAAGAAAGTAAATCATGAATTTTAATTTTCCTCAATCATATAGCTAATCTATACTATAAGATAACATATTATATGTAATTGCATAAGTAGGACCAACCCACGTGAAGACCATCCTTGTGCACGACTTGAATGCTGTGTAAGCCGCCTAGCTAGCCTCCCTCTCTCTCTCTCCTTCAATTCTTCCGTCCTTTTCATTTTGGTAGGACCTCTTCTTCAAGTTCTTATTAAAACTTCATGAGAGTATATATAGGATTATCAATCCACCAGAAACTCCCATACCCAAAATCACTTTCCTCCTTTCTCTAAAGCAATTTTCCAAAAAACATGGATTTCCATAGCCAAAAACTATATGCCCCCAAGCACAACAAAAAGAGGCTGAACCAAGAGCAAGTAAGGGAGCTTGAGAAAAGCTTCGCTGCCAACAAGAAGCTGGAACCTGAGCTCAAGCTTCACCTTGCCAACCAGCTTGGAGTTCCACCAAGACAAGTGGCTATCTGGTACCAGAACAAGCGAGCCCGGTGGAAGACACAAAACTTGGAACTTGACTACAACACCCTCCAAGTGAAACTAGAGAATGCATTGTCCGAGAAGCGAATGCTTGAGAAAGATGTCAAGCATCTTCAAGAAGAGTTAAGGAAAGCTCAAGAGATGATGTTTTCCATGAATAATTACCAGAAAGATCCTCGCCACCATCCTCCTCCTTTCGTTTCTTGCACTTCAGCAGGGTCTAGTGAAGAAGGAGGGAGCTCTAGCTTTCATGAGGATAATGTTCATGATCATGAGGTTTTGCAGATTGATGAACTCTACGCTTGTTTGATTGGTGCAGATAGGTCTACTTGGAGCTAAGGTGGTTGTGGGAAAACTTGTTCTTTATTGCAATAACAAGTTTCTTGTTGCCTGTCTTTGTAAGAAAATAGTAGACTTTTTTAGGCAGTGTTTGCTCTGAAGGACAGAACGGATAAATGGACAAACAATCATTCAATAGCTAAGTTATGAAGTAAATTGAAGCGGTTGGATTTAAAAAAAAAAAAAGAAAAACAAAAACTTTTCCAACTTTTATCCTTCTTGCCAAACACAACTTTAGTTGGATTAATTCCTTAATGTTAATTTCCAGTAGCCTATTACATCAAAAATTTTAATGTCTTTGTTATATGATTTTGGAGTGACCATAAACTTGTCTTGTAACAACAAACAAAGCCAAATTGATTAACCCTTTTATTGACCTATATTGTTGCTTGTTCCTATCCAACTTAAATGCCCAATGCAAGTGGGAAATGGCAGTCTGTCTAATGACGGGATCCCTTCAACATTCATGCATCATTCTTCAGTAAATTGGTATCCCTTAATTAATTTCTGTCTCATCCCTATGGAAGATTGAAAGTTTAGTACCATTTCAGTCTACTGTCTTGTTTTGGTACATCACCATGTTAATTACTATGTATTTCTTAAAAGCTATGATGCATGCGTTTTCTGGCCGATGGAGTAACTAGCTAGCTGGAAATCTATAATGTGACAGATTAATTTTAATTTGTGTTAATGGACTGTGATATTATTTATACATACACCAGTAGTTTGGTGCTATTGGAGTGTAAAATTTTAATGGAGTAATGGTATATTTTTATCACATGACTACTTAAGAACAAATGAATGAAAAAAAATTAACCTTAACGAATTGAGTTAATATGCCCTAATCTGGAATTTTGTATGCAAATAAAAACTTAGTATATATTCGACATTTAGACATGGTATCAAGAATTTTTAATTAGATTCAATCTAAGAGACATATAGCTTATATTTAAATTGAAAATAACTAATATTTTCAACATTCAAGTATTTGATTAATGATAGATGTATTTATCTCTCTACTTAAAAAGTTAAATTTGATTTTCTTATTTCCCGATTGGAAAAAAAAATATATCATTAACACTGTCGATTTTTTCAATAATTTTGTTTAACCCACTATATAATGAGATGGGTATTTTAATTTCCTAAAATATATAATTAGATACAGTTAAAAAAATTATTTTGATAACCTAATTAGGTGAGTAATCAATAAAGAAGAAGAAAAGCAATTAATTTAGACTGACCAAGTAGTTTGAAAGCAATATGATGTAAGTATATAATATAATATAATAGATACTCAGTGTATCGAATTAGATATCTGAATTCAACTATCCTTTTTTCAGACTAAAAACTAGTGAAAGTCTACAACAACTTATGATGAGCCGAAGAATTGGACATGCAGATTTTACCAAAACTTTGTGGAAAAAGTCAAATTATGAATGAAGCTAACTTATATTTGGAAGCCATGAAACTTTCTCTCCTTTGTCTTCTTATCATGTGAGTTAGACTAGTCAAGGATTATATATATATATATATATATATATATATATATATATATATTCAAATTAGACTCTTAACTAAGTAACATCTATTTCAATGATTATGAATTAAATTAGATATTTTAATTCACTAAGTTACTCAACAAAACAAAATTGTAATTTTTAACTCAATGTTTATTTATTGATATGGTTGGGTATAAAACCTCAAATTGCCGACGAGATTCAGAATCTTGAGATCTTGTGAATTTGATTCAATTTTATATTGAATTTGTTCAATTATATATCGATTTGTTGGCGACTTGTTTGTTTAATAATTTTTTCTATGAAATGTAATACTTAATTATAATTTTAATTACTAGTGATAAGTGTAATTTTATAAAAAAAAAAAGCAACACCTAAAATATGTAAATTTAATTTTTTTTGAAAGAACGGATGTTGAACTCTTGGATAATATATAAGGATGAGCAATTGGTCGATTTGATCTATCATAATTAAGGACCCAATAGATTAAACATTTTTTAAAAAAAGACCAAAACCAACCAAATTTAAAAGAAAATCAAACTGACTAAACATTCAATTGGTTCAACAAATTTGGTTTCGGACAAAAAGAATTAAAATTTTGTCATTTTTTTTACAACATTGAAATTTATAAATACCTAATTATAAAATATACAAATTATCTAAACATTAAAATATACAAATAATATTTATCTTTTCCTCACATAATTATGTTTTTTCACATAACCCATTAAATTAATATTAAATAATTTTATATATTTTATATAAATTTATAAAAAATATATATACTATTAATTTAATTTTTTAGTCGATACGGTTTAAAAATTTTAAAATTAAGAACTGACCAAATAAACTAATTAAATCAAAAATTTTTAAACCAATTAATTAGACTAAACCGTTTTACTCAAATTACGTTCAGATCATTGATCTCATCCAATTTTATTCCCTCCTAATAACATATGTGAGGAAAAGGAAAAATTTTGTCCTATCTCTTAATAAAGTAGTTTAGAGAAAATTAAATAAATAAACCCCAATCCTATCCAAACAACTTGGAACACTTTTCATGACAGAATGATTACATGTTAATGACAAAAGCAAATAGGAACAGCATTGTGGGGACCCAAAGCTATAGCTTCTAAGCTTAGGCACCGCATATGACCTTTGACTAAGAATAATGTCCTATTTGTTTGTTAATTGTTGTATTCACATTATATGAGATTGAAAATTTGACTTTAACAGTGCAATTACACCTCTGAATTGTCTAAGTTTTTAAAGGGCGTGCATATTTATAATTTATAGATATTAAATAAGATTCATCCAAATTATAAATATGACCCTAGTAGCCTGTACCTCCCATCTCTTTGTTTTCCTCTTTTCTTTCTTTATCTTCCTTTTCTTTTCCTCTTTTTCCTTTCTTTTTCTCAAAAGTAAACTCCTATTTCTTTCAATAACCTTCCCCTCTCAGGATCTACGATCAATTTAAAGGGCTTGCAACAAAAATTCTAAGCCAACAATGATACTTCAATAAGCAATACTATCTACCCAAAGAGCATATCTTTAATTTTTAGATTTCAAGATTCAAGTTATCAATATCAATTTAAAGCTTACAAGCTAGTTAACTATAGTACTTAATCCCTCAAAAATAAGTATTATTTTTAACATGTATGTAATTTGTGTAATCTTTCTTTTTATTTTTTTCTATTGTATTTGGATAATATTTGTTGAGTTTAATTAAATTGCTAAGGTATTTGTTTTTTAAAATAAATAGTGAAAAACATTTTTCATAAAACGTTCAAATAAAATCAATATCAATTTGAAGCTTGGAGACTAATTAACTATAATACTTAATCCCTCAAAAATAAGTTTTTTTTTTAACATGTATGTAATTTGAGTAATCTTTCTTTTTGTTTTTTTTCTATTGTATTTGGATAATGTTCGTTAAGTTTAAGTAAATTCGTAAGGTTTTACTTTTTTAAAAATAAATAATGAAAAATATTTGTCATAAAACATCCAAATAAAATATTTTCTATAGTTTATCCAAATAAAGTTATTTTATGATTACTAAATAGTGTCACAGGTTAGAATTTAAACCCAACCCCATGTGGCTTTAAGTTCTAAAAATAAAATTTAAATAAGTATATAAATCACAGGTCTATACTCTCAACTCAAAAGACATGTTTAATAGATGGTAAAAGATTCATATTTATATTCTTAATACCTACCCCATTTCTTACTGATGTGAGATCCGTAATATTTACTTCACTCAATTGTGCAATATCTTCATTACATTGGCTCTTTACCGATATAGGAAAGGAACTCTTGCACTAGTCTGGGTCTATATTGACCCTAGTATCTCTCATAAAAACCTCACATTAATGAAGATTCGAGTCTACTTTGATACCACTTATTACAGATTGAAATTTAAATCTAATGTCATGTGGCCTTAAACTCTAAAAATAGAGCTTAAGTAAATTGATAAATTACGAGCCATGTCACAGCATCCCACATTAGTAAGAAATAGGGTGGGTTTTAAAAACATAAATATGAGTCTTTCATCACCGATCAAGCATGGCTTTTGGGTTCGAAGTGTGGATCTGTGATTTATAGGCTTATTTAAATTTCATACGAAGTTGAGTTTAAGTTTCAATCCGTAGCCGATGGTATCAGAGTAGACTCAGATCTTTATTGATGTTGGCCCACATAAGAGATATAAAGGTTGAGATAAACCTGAATTAGTGTAAAAGTCTCTCTCTTTTATGAGTAAAGAGCCAATGCAATGGGACATTGCATAATTGGTATTTTACATCAGTAAAAAATGAGATGAGTCTTTAGGATATAAATATGGATTTCTCATTACTTATCAAGCAAGTTTTTTGAGTTAAAAATATAGATTCGTAATTTATAAATTTATTTAAATTTTATTTTTAAAACTTAAGGTTACACGAAGTTCGACATAAGTTCTAACTCATGAAAATAAATCCTATTTGCAAAAAAAAAAAAAAACTAATTAAGCTCAATATAACTTTAAGCTTATAAAACTCTATTTTTAGAGTTTAAAGCCACACATGGTTGAGCTTAAGTTGAGGCTTGTGACAAACGGATCCTAACTTAAAAAAAAAACACTAATTAAGCTCAATATAACCTTAAGAAAAACTCAAAACGATTCGTTTAATAGCATTAAAAACGCCGCGTTTTTGTGGCTAGAATTATATTATTCTTTTCTCTCCCTTTTGCCCCGCTCCCTCCAAATTAGTAGTCCAAAAAATAAAAAACCAGTACTTTCGGCCAACAAACCCGTAATACAAGCCGACCCGACGAAATACCTAAATGGCGTCGACGTCGGCATGTCGCGCCGACGGCGTCAGTGGAAGAATCAGACGCGCCTCTTCCAACCTTTTCTCCGAAAATCAAGCGCTTGTCACCGTAAGCTTATTATTAGTATAGTTTGAATTTTTTTGTCCACGTTGTAAAGCAATTTTGAAAGTTTTTTTCTTTTTTCAGGATATAAGGAAAGCTTGGAATTCGATGAAGGAAATTGCCGTGGATTTAGAGACAGATAATCAATCCGAGATGGTATTTTTATTTTATTTGCATAATAATATTTACTTTTTTTTTTAATTTGTTTCTTATAGTGGGTTTCTGATAAACTAACGGGTTATAGTTTTGAAGTGTGAAAAGAAGTGAGGACATGTGGGGTTGAATTGGGTTTTGTTTTTTTCCGATGCCCATAAAACCCCATAAAACCCTTATACTTGTTTCTTATAAATGCAATAAAACTTGTAATCATTGCTTAAACTTTTGTTTGAGTAAAGCCCGAAACAAGATTAGAAAATGATTATAGAAATATTTTTTTTTTCAATTTTCCCCTTTCGATTGACTAATAAAGTTGATGAATAAGGTGGTGAATTTGAAAATTTTTGGTTGGGGTTTCGGTTATAGTGTCATAACTATGCCATGTTGAGTCAGTTCTTTGGTTTGTTAAGGTTTTTGTGGTTTTGGAACGAGTGTTGGATTTTACTTGTAGCTCTCCGGACTGGTTTGTATGTTTCAACCTCTGTCTCTAGTACAGCTTCCAGGTTACAGATCACCCTGCTCTAGAAAAGGGGTAAAAACAACGTTGAAGAATAAATGAAATAAACAAAACCGTATTCTGATACTTTAGATATATGATGACTTGAAAACCAAAATTTTAACTTTAATCAGAATTCAAAATCCTTTTTGGTATGGTAGGATATTGATGATAGTTCATTTGGTAGGTGAAGCAGCTAGAAGAAGCTGTTGCTGAACTGGTAGAAGGTCATGAAAACTGCCTACATCATTCATCAGCAATTCAATCTGTTGGAGAGGCATATGAACCTGGGGCTGAGGTGCATGTTTATTTCTTTAATGCATTATATGTATATTTTTTGGTTTAGTAATATCATTTTGTATCGATGTACTAACGCTTACTGAATTAATGTCATCTGTTGCTTGCATGTTTTAACTACAGTTAACTGATTTTAAGAAGTTGCTGGATTCCGAGTTTGAAAAGGTTAAGGCTAGTTCATCTTCAAATCTACAGAATCATCCACTGATACATCAGTTCCAGCAAGCTGTCTGGGTAGGTATTTCAAACACATCAAGCCAGTTTTTGAAATTATTAAGATGGAAAAAGTCAATGATTATTTTTTATCCATATGTTGTTTTTATTTCTTCTTATACTGTTAATTAATCTTATTTTGTATTTAGGGTCGAGGTTCCTCTCGGCTTTTGAGTTTGCAACATTATATTGTTTTATATATATGTATGTAGACAAAAGTATACATGTTTGTTTCTATAGATATGCAAACTAGTAAGGGTAATTTGGTTTTGTCAGAATCATTTCCATCTGCATATATAAGCATGTTTGAAATTGATGTTTGACTTATCTTAGAAGACTGATAAGGGGATGGAGGGAGGTCGAAGAAAAGAATAAGAACCTAGTAACTATCAAAAAGAATTATAGAAGATTGTATAATGCTGAGCAAGTCGAGAATTTGTTTACAAATGTTTTCTCCTGGCCAATGGTCACTGCTTTTTTCTTAAAGGTTAAGATCAATATGGCCTAAAAAATGCACTTGAAGAAAAGATTATAGAATTTATAGATGCATGATGACCAAAGGAAGGATGTTAAATAACGTGGAGTTTTATTGATATAACCTTGGCCTTTGATTATTGTCTAGTATTAGTACTGGATATTGTTTTTGTTGGAGTCTCATCCCTTAATCTTCAAGAGAAATTTGAAACAACAGATGTCCTACCTAAGCAAAGACAATAAACGTGGTCATGTGTTCTGAGTTTTGATGCATAGGCAATATGGGAGCACTGATCTTCAAAAATGTTACGATGATGTTGTGTTGCATGGTTTATTCACTACCTGTCTTGAGCAAAATCCACTAGAAGAAATAACAAATAAAGCATAGGCCCATCACATACTTTGTGCTGATGTTCAGTTTCAATCAGTATAGAGGCAGCTAGGATTAGAATCTAGACCACTTGGTGAAAGAGGTTTTGATACGATGCCAAGAACCACTTTAGAATCTAGATCACTTGGTGAAAGAGATTATTGTATGTCGTTCTGAGAGTAGGTTTTATTCATTAATGAAATCAACAGTTGAGGGACAACTGACAAGTGTCAAAGTGTATTTGAGCTTAATAAATACATGGCATATGAGATTACAGTCAGTGCTGCTGATCAGTGGCATTTACAGTGAAATAAGAGTCCTCGGTATTGGTGTGCAGTTAGTAGCAATCTGTAGGTCACTTAATCCTTGAAGCCCTGGCTCACATCTGCTATACTTGTCAATTGAGAAAAATATGTTTTCGTTTTCTGTCTTTATCTCTCTCATGCAGGAATTGGTGAATACTAGATGCCAGTAGGTATTTCGTGCCACACTGTTTACCAATGATCTTCATCTTTAAGCTTTTATATTTATTGGTAACATGATTTATTACTATGGTGGATGATTATTCAAGGGATATCTTACATATCCAGTGTTCTTAAATCTTCCTCAGAATGTTCACCATACTGGGCAGCCAATGCCAGGTGAAGAGCAGGAGGATGTTGTCATGACCAGTACGGAGAGCAATATTAAGAATCTTAAATGTCCATTGACCGGAAAGCCTATTACTGAATTAACAGAACCAGTTCGCAGGTACCGTGTAGTTAATTTTTAACAGATCGTTCCAGTGAAAAATAGTATTCTGTTTTATTTGGTTAATTTGTTAATGTTTTAAGAGATGCGTTTGCTCTTAGTGGAAAATGTTCCTTATTTGTTCCCTTGTTTTAGGATAGATTTGCATAAATCTATCTCAGCATCTTAAGTCTCACCGTATTTTGATGGTTGGAAGCATGGTAGTCCTAATTCCCATTTGCTGGAATGCCCTTCAGAAAAATCCTGAAAATTTTAGTTTGCCAACATGATTGAGTTGTTTAGAAACTTGAGTATGCATTGGGACACATATTTTTGAGTCTGCCCTTTTGTATCAAATAATATCCAGTATGTTTACTCTTTTGATCCAGCCTGGACTGCAAGCATATTTACGAAAAGAGCGCTATCCTGGACTTCATAAAATCCAAGCGTGGCAATGCTAAATGCCCCGTATCAGGTATATACAATTTTATTTTATATTAGAGTTATTAATTCTCTACGGCACCCTCATTCCTGACCATTTCTTCTTCTGTCAGCTTGCCCTAAGATGCTGCAGGCAAAAAGAGTTGTCTGTGACCCATTGTTACTCTTCGAAATTGAGGAGCAGCGCTCATTGAGTAGACAGACTGCTAGAACTGATGTCATAGAAGATTTCACAGAAATGGAGCCTCATGAAGAATAGTCCATGGAACCAGTTATGCATTTGCCGATAGATATCAAGATGTCGAATACTTGTGGTCGCTCCTAGCTGATTAGATTTCCTTTGTATAGTCTTAATGCATATAATTTTGGAAGTGTAATTATGCAGCTTTCTCACTCTAATCCCTTTCTTCTTTCTCCTTCAGTTTCTGACAGAATTTGTATTTGGGAAAGATGTAAGGAGTTGTTTTGAATCTCTTTGTGTATTCCTTCCTGAAGTGCTTGAACCTTTTGCTGGTTATGTTGGTAGAAAGGTTGGCATCCTCTCAAAGCATTCTCTTTCTGTTTAAATTGAAGACTTGCAAACAAGTTAATGAAAACCTTCTAGGATAGGTAGGGGATGGCCATGGACATACCACAAAAGAAATAGAGGAAAGTAAGTGGATAAGATCAAAAGTCTGGACATAAAGATATTATACGTAAATCTATGTCTAGTTTTTTTTTTTTAATATATAATTGAAAAAAGGGGAGTTCGAATTTTATTTTTTAATAAAAAATAATATATTAATTAATGAGTTAAATGGTCTGATGTATATTTAAATTTAAATTGCTTATTAATCATATAAAGTTACATTAATTACTATAAAATTTTTAATGGTGGGTTGAAATTGGAAATTTGATATATTAAAGTTCATGTCTATTAGTTATATAAGTTGCAATGTACGAATTTGAGACTTCGATTGTCTCGGTTGGAGTTTATTCGATTGTCTCGATGGGAGTTTATCATCAATATATTATAACGTGTGAGTTTGAAATTTTGATTATTTTGGTATGAGGTAGGAAAGTATTATTATTTTTTCATTTAAATGTGATTAATCAATTAAAAAAAATCAGATTTGATTTATGTAACTGAGTTTAGATTCAAAAATATATGTATTTGATTAGTGGGCAACATAGACACAAATATAAAATTTTATTTTTAGAATATATATTTATAAATATAAATATATATATATATATATATATCTCTTCTTACGTAGTGCAGTATATTTTTCATAAGAGAAAAAAAGGACATAATTAAATAGAGCTACAAACTAGAAAATCTAAATTTCCTTCTGGAACAGAACTTAAGCCACTTCCGATAATGGCTTTCGTTAATACTACTAGGATTCCTGTTTCTCGAATCTTTGCTTATTGCAGCCGTTCTCTTTCTTCTCCACTCACAAACCCATTCTTTATTTCTACTCTACCTCCCGTTCCTTCATGCAAGTTTTCCATAACAGCCCAGTTCTCCCCTCCCTCTTCTTCTCCTTCTTCTTCTGCAATGAATACCCAAGTGGGTATTAGTAGTAGTAGTAGTCGTTGGCGGCCCATGTGTTTGTACTACACTCAAGGGAAATGTACCAAGGTATGCCTGGTTTTGCCTGTCTACTCATTATTACAGAAACCACTAACATTGATTTTCACGGCTTCTTTTGACAATTTCTCGTTTCTTACCATCTGTTCGAGTTAAGTTTTAAAGCCTGATTCTTTTTGCCATTTTATATGTGGGTTTACTTTTATTCATGCGCTTGTTTATATGGGCATACATTTTGAGCTCCATTTCCTTCTTATATTTGCTTTTTGCTTTTCTTTTGAGAGTAAAATCAGGAGATAATAGTTTTGAAGAATTAAAAATTAAAGTTTAACTTTGTCATAACAAAATAGATGATTTAGTTTTGTATAAAATAATTATGTTTGGAAGTATGTTGCATTTTGTTCATTTGCTCAATTTTAACCAAATATGATTTTGGTTATTGTTTTCCTTTTTAACAAATTTTTAGAAAGTAAGCAAATAGATAAGGGCAAGTAGCAGATATAATGATGGAATGAAGCCTTATTTTATTAGGATTATGTGGATTTGCTTGTTCTATATTGCTTTCCTAAAGGTTAATCCTTTTGTTGGGTTGTAGAAGTTTTGAATTGTATATGATCAAGTTGATTACCAGTTTATAGAGAGGTTAGGTTGCAGAGACTTGCAGTTCTCAGGCTGCATTATTTTAGTTCCCCTCAGATAATGTTGCCATGTCTTAAAGAGCATTTTGGTTTGTTTCTTATTACTCTTGAAATCGAATACGACATGCGAATTGAGTGTGGAAATTCAAGGCTCTTGATTTAGTCGTGTTTATGTTTAGACATGGGAAGATATTATTATTTTTTGAAAAATAAGTTGAGGTATTGTTTGTTCTGATATCTAATTTACTCTTTCATTTCAGATGGATGATCCTTTGCATCTGGAGAAGTTCAGTCATGATTGCTCTAGGGATCTTCAAGTTAATGCCACTTTCATTGAGAAAAACTGCTCTCAAAATAAGGATTTTTTCTTGGTGCTTGATTTGGAAGGGAAAGTTGAGATACTTGAGTTTCCTGTATTGCTGATGGATGCAAAAACCTTGCGTGTACTGGATTTCTTCCACAGGTTGTTTTTTCTTTACAGTATCTTTGGCACCAGTGGCAATTCATTTTTGGATTTTTCTTTCTATGTTTTTTGTTTTAGTGCATATGCGCTAGCTTGACTTTTACCTTCTTGATACCATGTGTGCATGCATACATTGATGATAGAGTCACTTGGTTGCAAATGATTTTCGATCTTTCCATGACTGTATATCTAACTTAAGGGATAAAAATTGTTACAGGTTTGTGAGGCCCTCTGAGATGAGTGAGCAAGCGATAAACAAATATATTGAAGGAAAATATGGCAAATTTGGGGTTGATAGGTAATAGTATTTTACTTCTATTCAATCCTAAGAGCATTAGATGTACAATGTATGGTGAATGTGGAGAACTGATGGATCCTTTCCCCTCCCAAATCGGTGATGTTGGCCATTTCTACTCTGTTGGCTAATTCCTTGCTACAATAATTGCTAGTAGGTAGGGCTAACTGATGAGTTATGTATGTAGCTAAAATTTAACTTGATTGTAGAGTCTGGCATGACACAGCTCAGCCATTTAAGGAAGTTATTCAGCAGTTTGAAGCTTGGTTGACTCAGCATCAACTCTGGGAAAAGAAGGGCGGTGCCTCCCTTACTCAAGCAGCATTTGTAACTTGGTGAGTCTTGAAACTCTTGAAAAATTAATATCTATTTCTTCTTTGTCTACTGAAGAATGCTCATTTCTTTGATATTAGCGGAAACTGGGATTTGAAGACAAAGGTCCCTCAACAATGCAAAGTTTCTGGGATCAAGCTCCCCCCATATTTCATGGAATGGATCAATCTAAAGGATGTGTATCTAAATTTTTATGGGCGTGAGGCAAGTACAAGCTTCAATTGGACTGCATCATTATATTCTTCTTTCTTCCATTTGATGCATCTTGGAGCTTTAGATAGATAATCCATGACCAATACTTATTTCCTGAAGTGATAAATTTGATTCTGTGTTCAAATCTTCCATGCCCAAGGTGGTCAACTCAATCCTGGTTGAACTGGTTTTTCTTCTGATTAAGATTAAATTCTGTTACTTATATAACTGGTTGTAAAGCATAGCCATATTTTTTCTAAACAATCTTTGGAGAGGAAATAATAATTTTTTTCCTGATTTTAAAAGGGTACTGAATTGCAGGAACTAAATCTGAAATAATGATCTTGATGGAATACTAGGCACTACGCACTAGCATCACATTTTATGGAACATGTTTGTACTTGTTTAATATGACCAACCTTGCATTACCCCTCCTTCCCCCTCTACAACAACGACAAATAGAGAGATCAAAGTTTCATTTGGTTTTGGTTTTGTGTTTGGTTTAATTGTGTCTTCTTTATCTTATGTGATATGATTGCTTGATGATGGGTGACAGGCCAGAGGAATGATGTCCATGATGAAGCAGCTTGAAATTCCATCTTTCGGATGTCACCATCTAGGTATCGATGACACAAAAAACATAGCAAGGGTACTGCAACACATGCTCGCTGATGGTGCAGTTATGCAAATTACTGCAAGGAGATATTCTGAATCTCAAAAAGTTGAATTTCACTTTGAGAATCGTGTCAGGTATCCACGAAGAACAAAAGGCAGTTTTAAGCTAAATCTGAACTTTTCAACACAATGATTAGATGTAAATCATGATTATTCAACAAATAGTTATTTGAATTCTCTGCTTTTGACCTTTGATTCTATCTTTCAATCCAGATGATGCTTAGCTTTTTGGATGCATTAGTCAATATCCTCCTTGAAGAAGGTTCGAGTACTCCATGAATTGTCAATGACAAGCTGTAGATTGGAAGCTTCCCTCATTGCTTTACTTAATATAGAGCAATATCCAACCATTGGGGGGTTAAATTTTGTTACCCCAATAATGTAATCTAGATTCACTTTATGCACATATAAGATTAGGATGTGCTCAATAGTTCGAATCGACATAAACAATACAAATTTTGAGGATAAAGATTTAAGGTTTCTTACTCAAACTTGATGGGGTTTTTTTTAAAAACTCTTTAGCATTTTCCTAAAAGATTTACAAATTATGTGTTTATGAACTAGAAAATGATGAAATTTGCTTCCAAATTTCAACCCAATTGATGCTAAAATACTAGAATCCTGGCATGAAAGAAGTAAAAGATCAGATGTATGTTCAAGTGGCTCCCATGATCAAGCATCTGACCAACAATACGTTGGTGAGTATCTTCCCTTGTAAAGAGCCGTTGTACCTTCAACCCTACCCCAAAAGCCACTATACTCTCCTACAAATCAGACCACCCATTTCCCCAAACTTTTGATTTTCCATCATAAAAACAAATCTGAACATATTTGCGGCAACTTCTGCCTTTTGGTAGGAAAAAACGAAGAAAATTCACTCATCCTACACATATCCCACTCTCCCTCCATCCAGCTCGGGATCTCTCTCCCTATTTTGATCAACAATCCCACCCTAATACTCAATCAAGCACTAATTCCCCTTAGATCCCACAAGTCAACAAACTCATAAAAGCTCCTATTGGCCAATTAAAGTTCCTACAACCACGCGCTTCCAGGAGAGTGAAGATGAACAAAAAAAATTATTAGTATAAAAATGTATTAGTATTTTTATTTCTCCAAAGCCTTGTGCCCTAGTCCCTCCCTTTCACCTCAAGAAAAACCCAAAACTTGAAGCAACTGAAAACCTCAAAGGTTCTTTCTGTTTCGTCCCAAATTGATTTCTAAGCGATTTTACTTCATTGGTTTCTCGTCATTTTCGATTTCCCATTCGGAACGATCCAACTCAGCGTCTCCCCTGGTGAGTTAAGTACTGAGTTCGATCGATTTTTATCTACCTTCGAAAATCATTGCTTTATTTGGAGTACCCAATTGAGGAAACTGAAAGATGGATCAGTAGTTGAATACCCAGTCGCCTAAATCTTTTAAATTAATATTATATGCAATGTTTATGAAACCTTAGGAGAAAATTGATATAGATATTGGAGGTTTTCATATATTTTGTGTGGTTTTGGTCATGCAATTATCACCGGCCTCGGTTTCTTCATCGAAACGGAGTGATTTTGGGCAAAAATCAGGTACTAGGCTTCGGAAGAAGCATAAGAGATTAGATGCAATATGTGAGGAAGAGTATAATAGGAAACATGGAGAAGGTAATGAAGGGAATGATGGTGATGGGTCAGGGAGTGTGGATTTAGAGCTCCGTAGGAGCTCACGGGTTAGGAGGGCGCCGGTTATATTGGATGTGTCACCTCCGCCTCCAAAGAAAAGGCGGAAGATTGGGAAGAGTGGGACGTTTGGTCGGGGGGAGAAAAGGTTAGGGCGTGTGAAGGAGGAGGAGGAGGAGGAGGAGGAGGATGGTTTGGAGACAAGGAGGTGCAGACTCTAGGGAGTTGGAGGTCGAGGTTAAGGACAAGAGAAGGAATGTGAATATTAATGCAAAGGTGGAGGAGAGGGTTCTGCCGAAGAGGAGGAGGAAGCTTTTTGAGGATATAGTTGGGAATGAGGAGGACGAGGAGAGGTGGAAGAAGAAGAGGAAGAAGAGGAGGATGAATCGATTGTGGAGAAATGATGGTAGTGAAATCCAAGAGGCGAGGGAGGGTAACACAGCAACTGTTCAGATAGTGAAGAGAAGGTGGAGATTTGTGGCATGGGAGAAGAAATGGAGGTGGAAAAAGCAGAATAAAAAGAGATGAGGTAGAGGAAGATGTGCTGTTTTAGACAGTGAAAAGAGTCATGGAAATGATAGGGAGGACATGGTTGTGGAGCCTCCTACAGTTTTGGAGAGTGAAATGAGTCATGAAAATGAGAGGGAGAGGATGGATGGCTATGTGGTTGAGCTGGTTAAAGAGGATGACAGAGAACTATCAAATTGTATACAATCAGAGGGGCTGGCATTGGCCATGAAAAGGTTGAAAAAACTGAAACAATTGAAACAGTGGAGCTGAGTGAAGAACAAGTGCAACATTTAGAATGTCAGAATGAAGAAGCAAATGAAGAGGATGTTGTAGAAGTAGATAATGAGGCAGAGGAAGTTGAAGATGGTGGTGTTCATGATGCAAAAGATGATGGATTGGTGAAAGTTGACGAAAAACCTTCAGAACATAAGAATGATATAACAGTAGACCAGTCAAATAAAGCAGCTGCTGAAGCAATTGGCAAGCCACGTATAAAACAGGGGAGAAGGTGTGGATTGTGTGGTGGTGGGACTGATGGCAAACCCCCAAAGAAGTTGGTTCAGGATGTAGGTGATAGTGAAAATGAAGCATACAGCTCTTCAGCTTCAGAGGAACCAAACTATGACATTTGGGATGGGTTTGGTGACGAATCTGGGTGGCTTGGTCGTCTCCTTGGTCCTATAAATGATCGTTATGGTATTGCTGGAATTTGGGTTCATCAACACTGTGCTGTATGGAGTCCTGAGGTGCAGTTCTATTCTTTTCCCTTTTATATTCGTCTTTTCCAAACTTAATTTATTAATTGATCTCTTTACTAGTATCGGTGGATACATATGTGTAAGCATTCATTATATACATATACGTGCTGATGTTTTTCATCTATTACTTCCTTCTCTGTCTGCTATATGATTTTATAAGCATTTTGGATGTCCATGGTCTTTACCATAGCTTGTTTTTTGAGCTGTTGATACACCTTGGGCTTTTACCATAGCTTCTCAACCCTTTGTAGTTTCGTGCTTAGTATATCTCAATTTCCCCTTTTAATAATTTACTATGTATATGCTGACAATTCTCTTAGTTTCTATCCTGCATGATTTCAGGTAATTAAAAGAATTGGTTCTGGAAGTTTACAATCTCTATCACCCATTAAACTCTTCTTAATTCATCTTTATTCTGCTGCATCTCCCTTTTCATCGATGTTCCTGTCTGTAGGTTTATTTTGCCGGCTTGGGATGCTTAAAAAATGTTAGGGCAGCACTTTGTAGAGGAAGAGCATTAAAATGCAGCCGATGTGGGAGGCCAGGAGCAACAATTGGATGTCGTGTTGATCGGTGTCCGAAGACATACCACTTGGTTTGTTTCTTGATATCTATTCTCCAAAGAAATCTCCCTTAACGCATCCTCCCCTTCCTTGCTGCTCAATTTTTGTTCAAGAAATAGATAGAGCTTCTTGTTGCTTTCCAATTGATGAAATTCTACTTTTTGGCAGCCTTGTGCCAGAGCTAATGGCTGTATATTTGATCATCGCAAATTTCTCATAGCCTGCACTGATCATCGGCATCTCTTCCAACCTCCTGGTATTCAATATTTAGCCCGGATAAAGAAATTGAAAGCTAAGAAAATGAAGTTGGAAATGAGGAAAGTATCAAATGATGCATGGCGAAAGGATATTGAAGCTGAAGAAAAATGGTTGGAGCATTGTGGTGAGGATGAAGAGTTCTTGAAACGTGAGGGCAAGAGACTTCATCGAGATTTGTTAAGAATAGCACCTGTCTATATTGGAGGCTCAGAGTCTGAGAGTGGGAAATCATTTGAGGGATGGGAATCTGTTGCTGGCTTGCAGGATGTTATCCAATGCATGAAGGAAGTTGTCATCTTACCACTGTTGTATCCTGAGTTCTTTGACAATCTGGGCCTTACACCTCCCAGAGGTGTTCTTTTGCATGGCTATCCAGGAACAGGCAAAACTCTTGTGGTGCGAGCATTGATTGGTTCTTGTGCTCGTGGCGATAAGCGGATTGCATATTTTGCCCGCAAAGGTGCTGACTGCTTAGGAAAATATGTTGGTGATGCTGAGCGTCAGCTGAGGCTCTTGTTCCAGGTTGCTGAGAGATGCCAACCTTCTATAATATTCTTTGATGAGATAGATGGCTTAGCACCTCGACGGACAAGGCAGCAAGATCAGACACATAGTTCTGTTGTGTCCACTTTGCTTGCTCTGTTGGATGGTTTGAAGTCCCGAGGTTCAGTGGTGGTGATAGGTGCAACTAATCGCCCTGATGCTGTTGATCCTGCATTGAGGAGGCCTGGGAGATTTGATCGAGAGATTTATTTTCCACTGCCATCATTGGAGGACAGGGCTGCAATCCTTGAACTTCATACTCAAAAATGGCCAAAACCAGTTGCTGGATCTTTGCTCAAATGGGTTGCAAGAAAGACTATAGGGTTTGCTGGTGCAGATTTGCAGGCTCTTTGTACTCAAGCAGCTGTTGTTGCTTTGAAGAGGAGTTTTCCTTTGCAGGAAATTTTGTCTGCTGCTGAAGAGAAAACTCCTAGTGCTAAACGTGTTCCTCTTCCTACTGTCACAGTTGAGGAGCGGGATTGGTTGGAGGCTTTGTCATGTTCCCCACCTCCTTGCTCACGTAGAGAAGCAGGAATGGCTGCTCATGATTTAGTTGCCTCTCCTCTTCCTACCCATCTCATCCCTTGTCTGTTGGAACCATTATCCACCTTGCTTGTTTCTCTTCATTTGGATGAACGCCTCTGGCTGCCACCCCTTCTTTCTAAAGGTGGGGCAGTGATTGAAAGCGTGATTGTTTCCACTTTGGATGACAAAAGACTGCCCAAGGATCATTGGTGGTCCCATGTTCATGACCTTCTTCAAGAAGCAGAGGTTACTAAGGAGATAGAGAGAAGGTTATCACGTGCTGGAATGTTAATAGGAGAGACTAGCTTTGCTGATTATGATGCCTTCATAGGTGATATTAGTGATGATGGTGTCAAGTTTGAACCTTCAAAATTGCGTAATGGCAGCACATGCTCTAGTTTGTCACGGAATACCTATTTTACTTCAACAAAGAAAACAGGGTTTCGGATATTAATTGCTGGAAGTCCTAGGTCAGGCCAAAAGCATCTTGCTTCTTGTCTTCTTCACTGTTTAGTTGGGAATGTTGAAATACAGAAAGTTGATTTAGCTACAATTGCACAAGAAGGACAGGGTGACTTGATTCAGGGAGTAACTCAGATTTTAAGTATGTTCCTCATACTTTATCTTTTTGTTGTAGCTAGCATTAGTTTTTTGGTAATATCTGGTTTATTTTTAAAGTAACATAAGATAGATGATGAATGCACACCTCTATTCTTTCACACCTGTGTTTCCCCACCTCCTTTTTGCCATCTGTACTTTGAATCATGTTTTAAGCTGCTTGGCACTTCTATAATCTAGGAATATTTCTTGTCATTTCTGTCTAGGTTGTTAGTTGGAAATATGGGTTAACGGTTTCCTTGGAGCTGAGTGGCTATAGTTTGGACAAAGAAGCAAATAGAAACATCCCTTGCTTTACTTAAAAAATTATCTTCGACTAGACACCTGAGATGGCTGTCAGCAACTACTGCAATAGCTTCCACAGCCAGTATAATATATGCTTTATATTTATATAATCAAAAGGTGTGTTGATTTATGTTTGATATATACCTCTTGATTGCCATAAGATCAGGGTTTCATTATTAAAATAAACTTGGAAGCTTAACATCTAAGCTAAGCTTGGAACCATTAAAGGCCTCATAGAAAGAACAACTAACAAGGCTTGGACTATTACCTCATGAAAATGAAACTAGTGGACCATAGCTACTACCTATTTCAAAAATTGGAGTTTCCTATGTACATTGGTTTCTGGAAAGTTTCATTATGAAGTGTGTAGTGCCTAGCTAACATGTAAGTTAACTAAATGGTGATGGAGTCTGTGGAGATTCCTAGAGATTCATGCTGAAATTAAAGTCATGTAAGTGGATTTAATTGATTTGGGCTTACATTTTTAATGGTGTGTTGGTGAGCATTTATGACAGTGACTAAGCTCAAAATAAAGTTCTTTGTGAAAGATTAGAGTACAGGTTACTAGATCTAATTCACTTGAAACATCGTTACAAACTATTCAAATTCCATGGCAGTGAAATGTGCAAGCATGGGGTCATGTGTGGTATTTATGCCAAGAATAGATTTGTGGGCTGTGGAGACTGTTAATCAAGTTGCTGAGGAGAGTGATTTGTCTTCAACATTCCATCAATCTCCCATGGAGGAAGATCCTCTACCTGTTGAAAAGGAAAGTGGATTCTCTCTGCAGCAATCTGAGTTGGCGGAGACAACGGAGGCTATCGCTGCTTTTCAAACCATATCACATGCGTGGAGTTCATTTGTTGAGCAAGTGGAATCAATCTGTGTGTCTACATCCTTGATAATTCTGGTAGGAATTATTTTCATTTACTTATTTACTTACTTGCATTTCAGGATCCAATACTTTATTTGTTGCTTGAGTAGCTATGCTCTACTGTGGAGCTTAGAATGAAAGAAGTTTTTTTGCTTTGATTAAAAGAAATTCATATGTTTGATCTAGTTCGACTATCATATTTTCATTTTTTATTTTCTTCAACAGTTCCTTGGCTTGCTTGGGTTTTGACTTGGCTAATGTCAGGTCGGACATATTAGCACTTGCATGACATTGATTTCTGAGTGTTTGGACTGTAATTACTTACCTAATGAAATTTCTACCATTTTAGAGTCGAGGTTAATTTGACTTTGTTACTGATTAGCAGCTTGTTGTAACTTGAATGGTTCAGGTAGAAGTGGAGAGCTGTCTGACCTGCATTTGAGAAGCTCTAGGTTAAGCTCTGTGGATATGACTTAAAGTGGATTGACTGATCATTTAAAAGTACTAACTTGAAACATGGTGCTTGAAACTTCATGCTTTGGCCCTTTTACTTAATTAGGACATTGTGAAGCCATTTGTTATAAATGTGTTAGTTTTTCAGTCTGAGCCCCTATTCAATCAAAACTTTATCTATTAAGATACAAGCCCCCATCCCCCTCTTTCTTCCCCTTGCTCCTTCTCTTACTGCCTTTAGATCTCTTGTAAGCATGTCTAACTCTTAATGCTTCTTATCTATCAACAGGCTACTTCAGAAGTTCCACATCTGGAACTCCCTGATAGAATAAGGCAATTCTTTAAGAGTGATCTAACAAATTGCAGTCAGAAAACTACATTAGAGCACACAGTACCCAGATTCTCTGTGCATGTTGGCAGGAACTTTGACCATGATATGGTTATCAAACTATCTGCTGCAGAGTTATCAAGGGATATCCTTCAACTGTTTGTTCATTTAATTCATCAAAGATCTCATGTTCATGAAGATTTCAGAACAAAAAATTCCGCTGAAACCTATGCAGCTGCAGAAAATGACCATATATCTCATGGTTTGGCTTGTGAAGTGACGGTTGGATCACAATCTTGTGGTGATTTGTCTGTTGCAGTGCCAGCAGCACCAACCAACAGTAGAAATTTGAAGGGGAAAGCAAGCTTGATGCTAGCAATATCTTCATTTGGCTATCAAATTTTGCGATATCCTCACTTCGCAGAGCTTTGCTGGGTGACATCAAAACTTAAAGAAGGTCCCTCTGCAGACATAGGTGGTCCCTGGAAGGGCTGGCCATTCAACTCATGTATCATTCGTCCCACCGACTCATTAGAAAAGGCAGCTGTTGCTTGTGGCTCCAGCAACATCAAAAGCAAAGAGAAATATGGTTTGGTCAGAGGTCTGATTGCTGTTGGTTTATCAGCATACAGAGGCTTGTACACATCACTTAGAGAAGTTTCCTCTGAGGTACGGGAGGTTCTCGAGCTACTAGTTGGGTGGATTAATGCAAAAGTTAACACTGGAAAAAACAGATACCTGTATGTTCGTATTTTATCTCAAGTTGCTTATCTGGAGGATATGGTTAACAGCTGGGCATATTCCCTGCAGAGGTATCCTTTTTCTCATTCTTTGTATTACTTGTTGTTTCATATATATATGGATTATCGTCTAACAAGACTTGATTCATTTGCAGTTTAGATCAGGATGCTCAAATAAAAGCAGCAAGCCCCAAACCATACACTTTGGGTTCTCCAGATAATCATTTGACATGTGTGAATAATCCAGATCACGTTCAGGAATTCAGGCCTGATGTTTCTAACAGAGGTTGCCCTGAATCTGAAGGTCTGGATGCAAACACTATGGAATTCACCATGCAAAATACTGATTTCATTGACTTGAACAAAGAGGATGATGATTGTGCTGCTAATCATGAGGGAAAAGTTGCACTTTTTGCAGATGCTGCACAGGGGACAGGCCTAATTGGTAATACTACTTCAGAGGAGCATCTTAATTCGTCTGTGGCAAATGAATCACTTGTTCATTTAGACAAGCAGAATGGGACAAATTCTGGACTTTGCGGGTCAGAAAGTACTAAAAATCCTATGGTTGAGGGACAGTTTGATGTGCGAAATAAAGACAGTATTGACTTGAATGAGACAGCTGGTGATTGTGCTCCTAGTCATGAGGGAAAAATTGCTGCTGACCAAGAAGCTGTAGAGCTGGTAGGCCTCGATGGTAGTACTACCTCCATGGAGCATCATTGTTCTGTGGTCAGCCAACCAGTTGTTCATGTTGTCGAGCAGAATGGAACAAATCCTGGACTGTGTCGGTCAGAAAGTACTGGATATCCTATGGCTGAGGGAGATCCTGGGTCCTCAAAACAATCTAATGGATTTGCACCAAGTGAATCTGTTTTGTCTGAGAATGGATTCTGTAGTTCAGATGAAGTGGATGGTACAAAGTTCCATGTCACTGGGAACGGTTGCAACCAGATTAATGCTTCTGAAACAAAGATTGTTATCACATCTGCAGATGGCAAGCCCAAAGACTGTGAACATAGAGAAGATCCCTATTTCTCTTCAAGAAAAACTGCTTTTCCAACTGAATCAGGAGTTACATGCATGTATCAGTGCTGTTCTGACTGCCTACATATGCTCCTTATTTTGATGCAAAAAGTTCTGCTTCAACAACCGAAATCAGATGGGGGCCAGTGGACAGTAGATGATGTTCATGATACAGTTGTATCAATGTCTGTGGATCTTCTTTCAACGGTTAGGAAAGTTTATGCTGCTGGATATAGCAGCATTAAATTTGATGAAAACCTGAGAATTGAAAATCATGGAAAATTATCCAAGTGTCAAGAGTGGAGCAAATGTCTTTGCAAAAGCTCAGAAAATAGTTTAGTTATTCCGACAGAATGTGGCTGTCACCCTGTAGGCACCACCTCTCCAAACATCAAATTCATGTTTGATCCAAAATTTGTTTACAGAGATGGAGTGATGGTTCCCATAGATTCTAACAAAGAAGTTTCTTTTCACTGTAAATTCAAGACGTTGTGCCTTTGTTCTCTTATAGAGTCTATATTAATGACAAAGCAGCCTTTCGATTGATTTTGGCTTTTACAGTATCAATTGTCTTGCTGTGGCAAGGTGAGTTTCTTTGGAGAGTTTAAAAATCAAATTTTGTTGGCTGAGCATTTGCCAAGGCAGTATCATTTCTTCTTCCTGAGGCATAGTAGAATGGTAGAATGGTCCTACTTTCTTTCCTACTCAAAACTGCTTCCCCAAGTTTTGGTTTCCTGGGTAGAAGCTAACCTATATACCATGTAAATATCATCCGAGGTTACTACACCTTTGAGTACTGTAAGTATGCTTTCTTATAGCCATTAAATAAAATATACCTCTGGAGGTTTGTCATTCTGGTGCTTCTTGTCTTATTGCACTGTTTTCTTCTATCACTACTCTATGATTGCAACTTTTGATTTTGATGATCTCAACTGCTGCAATTTGAAGGTTCAAATTTTGACATGATCATTATTCGAAGTTTTCATCTTCTAAAGTGCTTAATACTTTGCTCCTTGAAATCCCTGAATATGTTATTTATGCATATGGTGACATTTAAATAGGGTTTCTCTTAGCTCTCTATGGAACTATATTTCGATGCTTGCCTGGAAGAGTAATAGAAATTCCTGAGCATGTTCATACTAGCTGCTGCTGCTGCTGCTGGATAAAGATATTGCAGCACTGTTTCGGACAAGTCGCATCAGACCTTCATAAATGAGCATGCTCTTTTAGCAGTGATCTTTCGAAGTTGAGTAGTGCTGATTTGTTTCCTAATGGTAGTACTATTTTTCAGCAACCTTCTCAAGATAAAAATGGTATTCTTCAAAACTAAGTTGGAACAAATGGTTGACAAAATGAATGAATTCAAGACAATCATACAAATGCAGGAAAAGAAAATTTTAACATAAAGTGTTACGGATGGAAATTATATATAAGTTATATAACAATGGAAACCTCTTTTGGGAAATACCATTTGAGCCGTTGAACTCAAAACCTATGGGTTGTTTTCTTTTGGGTGCAGAGAAAGAAAGCTTATAGAAAATATGTTGAACTGAAAAACTGAAGAAATGGTTGCCAGAACTACGTACCATAAAGGAAAGGGATAACGCTATATAATACTCGTAATTACAGGATAATAAACCAACGGTTCATCAGAAGAACAAAATGCAGTAAGGGCAAAAGATCAAAGGGTATTTGCTGCTGCTGGTGCTCTGAGTTGGTCAATTTGTATGCATCTGCAATAAGAACTGAACCCAATTAACCAAAAGCCCAACCCACAATTTGGAAAAGGAAATATATAAAAAGCTTGGGCTTCTGTTCTGTCGTTTTGCTGTTATCAGCTTTCTGGAGTTTCATGATTTGTTAAAGACTTGTCTGTCTTGACCAAGCTTTCTTCGAAGTTCGAGTAATTGCTGCAGGTCAGTCCTTTTTTCTTTTTCTTCAATATATATTTTCAGTGATATAGAATTGAGAGATTGCTGATATAGTTTAGCTCTGAGGAATTGTCTAATTCTGTTGTCATCATTGCAATTAGAAAGTTCTGCTTAAATAAACATATAGGTCTTAATCCTGTTTTGATACATTCTATGTACACAATCATAGTTAAATAGCTCAGTTTATTTGATATGTAGGACTAGCTAACCCCAGATTCCAAAATGTTTTTCTGCCAAAGAATGATCAAGGAATATGATCAAAGCAACTGATTTCTGAGGCGGAGTTGTCTATCTTGTTGACATCTAATCTGAAAGTATGCTGAAAATAACGTATGGGTTTTAGCTCTTAATCTGGTTTGGGTAAGTTGTATTCAGTCAATTATGGTAACATTGCTCAGTTGCTATGATATGTGGGATTGCCAGATTATCTGACCTGGATTCGGTGTTGGCTTTATAGGTTAATAGCTAACCAAGAAACTTGAGAAAGAGGGATTGAAAGGCTGAAGCCACAACCATCATTGATCATTATCATTTTTTGTGGAAAATGGAAGGGGCTGTAAGGGTGCAAATCCTCTCACAGGCGGGGATTTCAGAGGTTCCATCACAATATATCCAACCACCTGAGAACCGGCCTACACCTATAACCAATACTAAAACTAGTTTGAGCTACGACAATGTCCCTGCAATTGATCTATCTCATAAAGAGGAGTCTGTCATAGCAGCCATTCAAGAGGCTTGCCAAGAATTGGGAGCTTTTCATGTTATCAACCATGGGGTTCCTGCGAAACTGATGGATGATTTGAGGAGATCCTGTCTTTCTTTTTTCAATGATTTCCCAATGGAGGACAAACTTAAATATGCTTGCCAGCCCAATTCTGCTGCCTCCCAGGGTTATGGTAGCCGCATGCTTGTAAGCTCTGAAAATGACAGTGTGTTGGATTGGAGGGACTATTTTGATCACCATACCCTCCCTCTTTCACGCCGTAATCCATCCTTTTGGCCCCATTTTCCACCTGAATACAGGTACATCAATTGTTTCATTTTCTACAGCAATGACATTGATTGATATTCTTTAGGCATTCTCTACTTAATTTATGTTTCTGTAGGGAATTGGTGGCAGATTATAGTGATGAGATGAAAGTGTTGGCTCAGAGACTGTTGGGGTTGATATCTGAGAGTTTAGGACTGAGGGCATCCTGCATAGAAGATGCAGTTGGGGAATTCTATCAGAACATAACAGCCAGTTACTATCCACCATGTCCACAGCCAGAGCTGACATTGGGCCTGCAATCCCATTCTGATATGGGTGCCATCACCCTTCTAATACAGGATGATGTGGGTGGTCTTCAGGTGCTCAAGGATGGAAAGTGGCTTACTGTTCATCCTCTGCCAAATGCCATCCTTGTTCTTCTGGCTGACCAAACTGAGGTGTTACTCATCTTTTTAATATTCTATTGATACATCAAACTATGAATAATGAATGTTGAGGATCATAAGTAATTGATTTATCGGACACTTACCTTGCCTGCAGATTATAACTAATGGAAAATACAGAAGCTCTGTGCATCGGGCTGTAACAAATGCCAGTAAAGCCCGTCTCTCTGTTGTGACTTTTCATGACCCAGCTAAGGCAGTCAGAATATCCCCTGCCTCTGATCTTCTGAGTGAGTCTTCCCCACCTCGCTATGCTCCAGTTGTTTACGGAGACTATGTGTCATCATGGTACTCAAAGGGCCCTGATGGAAAACGAAATCTTGATGCACTCATGCTTGACACTTAAAAGTATCGGAAATGCTTGCTCTCTCTGCACCTTGACCCTTGTAATTAATTCCTGTGGAAGAAGCATCACAACTACTCAGTTCTCCCGTATGCGTCCTCGTTTTATTTCTCAATTAAGAACTCATTATTTTCATAATTCCAATATTTAAGCCATTCTTCTGCATTGCATGCAATAAAGTGACAATAAGAGTGATCAATCCTTTTTTTGCTCTGGCATGATTTGTTCCTCTTCTCCCTTTTAGTATGTTGGAATAGCATATTGACGTAAAGTTTGAGGTTTGCATTCCCTCTCCTAAAATTACCTAGTAAGCAGCAGCCTAGAAGCATGGTGATTAGATGAACAGACGAATACAGATGTTAAGGCAACAATAGAATACTTAACATCATAATGTTGCATGTGTTTTAGGCAGTGAGAAGGGTAATGAATAATGACAAGGAAGAAAAGGACAGAAGCTTTCCTGCTTCTCGACCACCTTCATGTCGCCTGTTATTATGGTCATTGAAATTGACTGAAACAATTACTTTTCCCTATAGAAATTGTTGTGGTGAAAACTGGTTCCTACATTGCTCAGGGATGAAATTGTTTGGGCTTTTCATTAATATGCATTGCATATCTGTACAATTCTGCCTCATACAGAGTAAGGGTTTTTTTTTTGGATCAAAAGTATATTACACTTTGCAATGATACATCAGATCCTCTAGTGTGCAACATTGTCATTTTTATAATCAACCCTTTCAAGGGTAATTAAGATTTAAATACAATTCTAGCTTAGTGGGCATTAATTATAACTACTGATTAATGCTTTATCAGCATCAGCCAAGGGGTTGAAATCTGTCCCAGAGGTTTAATGGCATTAGGACAAACCATATGCAACATAGAATTGGAAATAGACAGACCATTACTCATTTTGACAATGACTTATGACCCCAATTTTCACCTAGCAGCAAGAAGCCACAAAACCAATTATTAAAGCAAGAGAATATCATCCAATAGCCTGATATTAAAATTTTATTGTCAATATTATTTATTCTTTAACAAATCTTTTGTTCTTTTAGTTAGTTATTTCCCCACAATCTCCTTCTCACGCTGCTATTTATAACTTCAAAATTTCATGGAAAACACTGGCTTTTGCCTTTTCCTTTTCAAAAGAAGAAAAAAAATCAATACATTTATGATATTTATTTTAAAACAATTTAAATTTGATGCAATCATTTTTTTTAAAAAAAAAAGTTGAAATTTTAAATTCTAATCATTTTCTCTCTTCGATTTTTTCATATATATGTATATATGTATACTTAATAATTGATATGTTGAGCAAATGCCGGGTTAAGCTTGAGTTTATTGAGTGAAATTATACAATTAGTAAACTCTTCTACACACAAATGACAGATTCTAATTACACTCCTTTGTAATCAACATTTTTTTTAGGTTGGAATAAACAGTGCAATCTCACTTAGTCATTTGCTTAACTTGCATGGTTTCAAATTGCAATCTTTGGTGGTGCATTAGTATAGAGACACGAATTAAAATCTTAGTATCCATAAATCACATGAAAATTAAGTCTATTAAATAAGATAAAGAGTAATACAACTTCGATATAACATCGCTATTCAAATCTTCACTTTATCTTATATCACATAGAAATCTTTTAATATGGTGAAAATGAGGCACATTCTTTGTATTTTAATTGGATGTGAAGACATTCTCATGTTCGGAATGAACAACATCATGGCAATGTCTTCCCATGGATATATCCTTACGGTTTTAATTCATAAATACTTTGCAGACACTTCTCTTGGACTTAGGTTATGCCATTGTTTTTTTATTTGAAAAAATATACATAAATTCATTGCAAATTCGGCATTGCTGCTGTAAAGAAAGATGTTACTACTTAATTTAATTCAACGCACATGTTGCAGGCACTGCAAAAATAGTTGGAAACTTCTTGATAAGCCCCCATTCAACAATACTGATCTTTGCAGCAGAAGGTGGGATTACCTTGTATAAGTAGAACATGGATTTATTGAACTGGCTGTTTCTTTTCACCCCTTTCTAGTTCATAAAACAGCTCTGCAGCTCCAAAACGGCTGATCATGAATTGCGACACGAGATTAGCAAGTTTGAGGAAGAAATCATGGCATCTGGATGCTGCTTTCCAAGCTCTGAAGCCATATTTTAGGTGTTCTCTTTCTTATATATGGTGCTTCACTCGACAAGCTCATGCATCCTTTGGATGAACTTATCGATGTAATCATTCGTGAATTCTGGGTTGATCGTATCTCTCCATTTCTTGTGATTCTCCTTTGCCAACTTACCCACTTCGCTATCCTTATCCATCACTGATTTTATAGCTTCTCTCAAATTCTCTTTCGAAAGCCATCCATTTTCTTCTCTCTTAACCTCCACAGCAACCTTGAGCTCATCAGCCATTAGCCTGGTATTCAATATTTGGTCACCCAACTGTGGAAACAACACTATTTGGCAATCACTCATCAAAGATTCCCACATCGACCCAAACCCACAATGGCTCACAAAACAGCCGACTGATGGGTGAGCCAGCACCAATGGTTGTTGCACCCATCCGCCCCAAACAACCCCTCTCCCTTTAACCCTCTCTTCGAACCCTTCAGGCAATGCTTCTTCAATCGTTGCAGCCTCCAACGGTGGCTTTAAGGCGACAAAAAAAGGAAGCCCTGTTAGCTCAAACCCCAGCAAAAGTTCCTGGAACTGAGGTTTTTCAAAAATGAACTGGCTCCCGAAAGCACAATATACCACCGAGCCTGGTTCGAACCCGGCTAACCAACGACCCCATCGTTCATCCAATACAGACTTAGACTCTTCAGGCAAAACTGGACCTGTTAAAAGAACTGGTTTCTCATACTGGCTCCCTATATAATCACATAACTTCGCTTCAATTTCATGGCAAGTCCTCATCGATATAGCATCACAATTCTTCATTGCCTTGGTGATTCTCTCGTAAAACGTTAACCCTTCCCCAAAAGGGTTTGTTACAAACAACAAAGACTGGCCTTCATGGCTACGCAACACTACAGAAGATGAAGGGTAACCAGGGGGTGGCACAGCCAATTCAGCCGCGGTTATAGGCCTTTCCCTGGTCGCATTTCGTGCTGGAACCAAAACAATAGCGATTGCTGCAGCACAGACAACGTTGTAACATACAGTTTTGATCCCAAGTGGTTTGGCTATCTCAGGAATCCAGTGGGCAGTGTCGTACAAAACCAGATTCGGTTTTACTGAAGAGATGACGTTTTCAACTTGATCCCTGGTACGGTCCATGGCAATGGAGAGGAAATGGCTCAAGAAAATGGGGATATCGGAGGCAGTTTCAGCACCTGGAGGGAGGCCAGTGACAGATGGAACTGTAACAGGGTGGAAAGAGATGAAATCTGGGTACAAATTCAAATGTTCCAATTGGCTCACGGCTTTTCTGGGTAGCACGAAAGTGATTCTATGACCCTTTTCAGCAAGCTTGTTAGCAAGGTGGAGAAATGGGGTCATGTGACCAATTGCAAACCATGAAAACATAAGGACGTGAAAGTCTGAACTGTTGGCTTTTGCCATTTTCCTTTTTCGGATAAAGTTTGCAGCAGCTGTTCTTAATTTCTGGCTAGCTGAGGAAGGCTATACGAGAATCAAAGCAATTGATTTAAAAGGTTATAGTCCTACTAAGTAGTCGAAATTTCGGGATAAAATTTTGACCCAGATCTCTAACTAAACAGCGAAATCTTTTGCGGTAAAGTTCAGTTCTGGAATATGAAAATATGATATCAGCGAGTTTGTAAATTGTAATAGTAGGTGGCTAGCTGCATTTGTTCTTGTAGTTTCATAGAGTTGAATACTTCCTCTCTCAACTATAAATTTGATAAAACTATGCAGATGAATATTTCTTTAACAGCTTATGATTAAAGTAGCGTGTGCAGATTCTCCAAATCCATAGGCTGGGGAGATGCTAACCATGTGGAAGTGTATGGTGAAAAGAAGTATATAATCCTTTGGGAGAAATTAACATAGTAAACAACATTATTTTTGAAAAAGAAAAGTAATTGTTCATTAAGGCAGAAGGAAATATATCTTTACGTAGTGATAGGTCTGTTGCCATACAACTGAATAAACGTAACTTTCAATAACTATAAAACATGATGACCACTATATCTATGAAATAGAAAATAACAGAACATAAAATGGAAATAGTATTGCACTAGTAAAAATCAAATCTATAGTTAGAGGCAGTTGTGGACATGTTGTAGCAAACATATATATTCTTTTGAAATAGAGATTAGCACCATCCAACGTAATTCGTTCTAGTCTTTTCTTATAAAGGATTTTCAACACACCTCCTTGAGAGAGACTTGAAAAACTCCAAGCTAGATCTAAGGTATTCAAACTTGTCTTTAGGCAGTGCTTTTGTGAAAATATTTGCAAGCTGATCTTCTGTGTTGCAATATTCAAGCACAATTTCTCCATCTTTCATTGCTTCATGTAAAGCATGATATTTAACACGAATGTGCTTGGTATACGACCATACTGCACTAGATTTCTTGCAATGGCTATGGCAGACTAATTGTCCACAAGTAATTTAATTGTAGTACACTTCTCATGAGGACTCTTGGTGTTGTTGGTTTTGGTAGGTAAAACATTGAGTAAAATTACTACTATGCTGGCTGCTTCTGCCCAAAAATAGTTTGGCAAATTCTTGTCATATAACAAGCATCCAGTCATCTTAATTATAGTCCTATTTTTATACTCACATGCACAATTCTGTTGGGGAGAATAAGGCACCGTGAGATGATGTTTGATGCCGCACCTGGCAAGATAGCTCTTAAATTCATTGGAGCAATATTCTTTCCCATTATCAGCCCTTAAAATCTTCAAGCTTTTTTTTGCCTCATTTTCAACAAGAGCTTTAAATTGAATAAACTTGTTGTAAGCTTTAGATTTATGCTTTAAAAAATAAATCCAGCAATACCTTGAGAAGTCATCGATGAAAATCATATAATAGGCACTGCCACTCAATGATACAATTTGCATAGGTCCACCTAAGTCTGAGTGTACCAACTGCAGCTTCTCAGTGGCTCTAAAATCACTTGACTCAGGAAAGGACAATCGACTTTTCTTGCCAAATTGACAAGTTGCACATAATTGATCTGAAGTCGTAACAATAGGAATACTTTCAACCATTTTATTAGAAGATATTAGCTTCAAATAGGCATAATTAACATGTCCCAATCTCCTATGCCAAAGTTGAGATTCATTGACATTGCAACAATGAGCTTTATGCTCTATTTTAGACATGTCAAGTGGATAGCATTTATTTTTCATTACCACAGTAAGCATCTCATCTCCAGAAGGGTCGAAAATTGTGCAATAATCATCTTTAAACAAAAGAGCATAATGATTTTTTGCCAACTGACCCACACTCAATGAATTTTGATTGATTTCAGGAACATAAAAAACCTCATATATCAACTTAATATCTGATGGTGTTTCCACTACAACAGTCTTGGTGCCAAGAATCTTTAAATAAACTCCATTCCCGATTTCAACTCTTGATCTGAAACTTTTATCTAGAATAGTGAGGTTCCTGACATCTCCAATCATGTGGTTCGAGCATCTACTATCAATCAACCAAATGTGATTCACTCTATTTTCGTCAACTGAAGTAGCCATAAAAAGGTGTTATGCTTTAATTTCTTCTTGCTCCATTACTATAACCTTTTTATCAATTTGAGCATTTTTGGTTTTCCAGACTCGTTCTACATACCTCATTTGGTTGCAAGACTTGTACTTGACATTAGGCCAATACCAATAGTATTTGCTAGCATGTGTTCTCTTCTTCCAATGAGTATATGGTGGATACTTATTACCATGCTTTACTTGCTTTCCTTCATTGACTTTTCTTTCTCTTTTCTCACCCGCAAACCTCTTTAAGCCATTGCTATTGACCCTGAGTTCCCTTGTTCTAGTAGTCAAGGCGTTCTCTATCGAGTCTTCATGCCGCATGGCTCTCCTCTGCTCTTTGGCTTGCCGTGTATTGACAAGCTCAGTTACTATAAGTTGAGACATGTCTTTAGGATCTTCCAAAGAAGAGATTTTTCTTCGAACTTATCTAGAAGGCTTACTAATACCTTGTTCACAATCCTTCTCTTTTATAAAACCTCCCTCAATAACCTCAACTGGTTTACAACCTTTAAAACCTTGTCGAATAGTCTCTGATTGTCTCATTTTCTCTGATCTTCAGTACCTCAAACTCCATTAGCAAATTCAGAATTTGAATATAGTATGTTTTATCACTGCCATGGAATTATTCTCAGAGTTTGTCCCATGCCTCTTTTGGAGCCTCATATGTCATTATCCAAGTAAATATTAAATCTGTTACTACTGAATGAATACAGGAGAGTGCCTTGTATTGTTTGGCCACCTCCTTACTGTATTGTTTCATTTGAGTGATGATAGGGTTTGCATGCCTCATGATCAGAGGTTCTCCACGATTTCAATAACTTTTCATAAATCAAAAGCTCGACGATAAGTCTTCATTTTCACTGTCTAAATAGGGTAGTTTTCTCTATTAAAGATTGGTGGAGTTTGAGCATTGAAACTTGAAGATGCCATGAGAGTTCTGTTTTGTTGTTGATGAAAGCAGCCTAGTAATGGTTTTAAAGCTTCCTTTTCTTGCTAAAACTCATGTATAAGGTCTTGTAAGATTAGTGTTAATACTCTGATACCATATTGTGAAAAGAAGTATATAATTCTTTTAGAGAAATTAATAAGTAAACAACAGTATTTTTGGAAAAGAAAAGTAATTGTTCATTAAGGCAGAAGGAAATATATCCTTACTTAGTGATAGGTCTATTGCTATATAACTAAATAAACTTAACTTCCAATAACTATAAAACATGATGGCCTCTGCATTTATGAAATAGAAAATAATAAAACATAAAATGGAAATAGTGCTACATTAGTAAAAATCGAATTTGCAATTGGAGGTAGTTGTAGACATGTTGCAGCAAACATGTATATTCCTTTGAAATAGAGATTAGCACAATCCAATGTAATTCTTTCTAGTCTTCTCTCATAAATGTTTTTCAACATAGTGCTTGCTATTCATAAGGCAATTATGTTGGTGGTTGCTTCCATGTGGGGGAACTTTAGTGTTGTTATCTTTGAAACTGATTCTAATAATGTTGTGCCGTGGATGTCTAATCTTGGCTTTTCACCTTAAAGGTTGAAAAATCTGGTTTTAAAAACCAGAACTGTTATAAGGAACCTCCTAAGATGGAAGATCTAGTACAAGCCTAGGTCAAGTGATATTGATGCTGACAAGTTGGCTAAACTAGGAGTTAATGGAGCTGATAACCTTCTGCGCGTTTACCCGGATGGATTGAATGACTTGGATGAAAGGTAAATGGCTATTGATGTACTGTGATCAGCAAAAAAAAGAAACTGAGTTGCAGATTTTGTTTCCAATTCTTACTGATGCTTCTCTTGGCTTTAAGGGGTGTGGTGGTTTTTTGCTTGGGATAAGCGATAATTGTAAATGATTTCGTGGTGTTTGTATAATTCTGTATTTTATGGCTACTAGGTGATTTTGGGACTAGGATGCCAATGGTGACAATGGAGCAAACTATGCTCTTGATCACATGTTCATGTTTTGCTAGGTTACCCCAGTTTGAATGAAAGGTTGCCATTAATCTTCAAACAAAAAAAAAGCATTGAATTCTAATACGATTTTTGAAAATTTAATATCAAATCAATTGAATTGACCATCTATATCCTATCTATCATTTAGTTTTATACTTTGATTAAGAATGAAGATATCATCACTTAGCTAGCAATCATACATAAAAGCATAATAAATATATAAAAATTTTAAAAACTTAAAAAATAAAAAAAGAAAAAAAATTGTAAGAAATAATCATAAGCCTATTCCAAAAATAACATTCAATATAAAATTAATTGTTTTTAGCCAATTTTAGCCATGGGACCCTTAAAACTATTTCAAACAAATTAAATACTCCAAATTTTCTCTCCCACCATTCGTTTTCTTTGCTCTCTAGTGCTCTTCATTTTTCTCTCTTGTCATCTAACTTTTCTAATTTTACCACCATCACTATCTCTTTGTCTATCTCTCATCATCCCGTCGTCGATCTACATACCAAAGGGCATAATATGAAAGATAACAATATATTCTTGGGTTTATTTGTTTACGTTTATAAATCCTTTCTATGTCTATCTCTCGCCATCTCATCATTGATCTGCAAACCGAAAAACATGACATGATGAGTAACAATGAGTTCTTGGATTTATGTGTGTTAAGTTTTTTCAATGATTCAAGTTTGGTAGAACATGTCTTAGCGTATAATAAAGTGATTCATGCCTTGGCATGTAACATCATTAGGAAGAATGAAGCTTTGGCATGTAATATATGATGTTGAAACTTTGACCTTTGTATAAGGCATGGCACGTAACATTTAGTGGTGAAGCTTTGACCTTAGCATGTAACATCCAGTACTGAAGCTTTGGCCTTGGCATGTAATATCTAATGCTGAAGTTTTGACCTTGGTGTGTAATATCTGATGGTGAAGCTTTGACCTTGGTATATAACATCTGATGTTGAAACTTTGGCCTTGATGTGTAACATCTGATGCCAAAGTTTTGGTGTTGCTTAATTTTTTTTTAATATAACGTGTAATAATAACATTTTTAAAACATATAACTTCCTTATATTTCATTATAGCATAAACTTTTGGAGTTAAAGTGTATAACAATTTTTTTTTCAATTGTAATAAATTTTTTTGAACTTGACGTGTAATAACAACACTTTTTAAATGTAGTTTGATCTTTATCTTTATATTTCAATAGGATATAAATTCTTGGAGTTGATAAAGTTTATAATCAATAAGAAATATGACATGGAAAGAAAGATGTATTGAAAATTATTTAACATCAACATTACTGTCGTGTGAAATGAATTTGGATAAAAGGATACTATCCAAAATCCTCAAATTTAGATAATTAGCTTTTAGATTATTTTATTTGTTACCTTTCCTATAATCATAAAAAAATTCACTAGATGTTACATGCTAAAGTCAAAGCTTCAGTACCAGATATTATATGCTACGGTCAAAGTTTCAACATCATATAGTACACACCAAAGCTTCCTTTTGCGTACTGATGTTACATGCCAAGGTATGAATTACTTTGTTACACGCTAAAGCATGTTCTGTCATACTTGAATCATTGAAAAAACTTAAACACCCATAAACCTAAGAACTCGTTGTTACTCACCATACCATGCTTTGTAGTCTAACGATCGACAATGAGATGGTGAAAAATTGACAAAAAAAAAATTTTATGAATGTAAACCAATAAATCCAAGAATATATTATTAGTTTTCATATCATATTTTTTGATCATATGACGAGATGACAAGAGATAGACAGAGAGATAATGATGGTGGTAAAATTAGAGAAAGAGAGAAAAAAAATGAAAAGTACAATAGAATGGGGAGTAAAGCATACAAATGGGGAGAGAAAAAATTTCGAAGCACTTGAATGTAAAGGTTCAAAAGTAATTTTATCCAAAAATATATTTTTTAATTAAAAATTATTAAAATTAAAAAGAATATTATTTTTTAAAATACTCTATCTTTGAAAGTAAAAAAAAAAAAAGCTTATGATAAAATAAGTACAAGATCAGAACTTGCATGGCTTCACTCAATTTTTTTGGGCGCAACAATTTGGAGTATCACTCATCCCATAATCGATGGACCCATGAGCAAAAAGTTTTATTTCATGGGCTTGAACATTCATTTTGAACAAGTCCATCTTGAATCCATAATATCTTTTTATTTAAAAAATTAAACAATTTATTTATTTCAAATTATCATCTAAATATATATTAAAAAAAATCAACAAAAGTTGATATTATCCGCTTTGAAAACCATATAATCTCCATTGGTATTCAGTAAAAAAGTATATAATTTGTGTTTTTGCAAACATTGCCTGCCAATATAGCTATGCAAAAGCTATCCATGAATTACTTATTTGCCTAATATATGAAAAAAAAAAAATAATCTGTGAATAAACCAAAGTAAAGGCCAAAAACTGGTTCCATTCACTACAGTATAACAACAACCAAATGATATTCTTTCTATCAGATCCAATTTGCCAAAAACCCACAAATTTCACTTCAAAACCTCACCCCCCAAAAGCATGACCAAAGACCAAGAAGAGATCAATTATTTTATTGCAGTATCTGGTGATTCATTTGGTGAACGATTCTCCTGTGGGAATCTTTCTACAGCCTGCTTGCAGCTTACTTACAGAAGAGGCAAGAGGGAACAAGCTTAACCTTACCGTCAGGCTGGACTATATATATATATAGTCTTGGTTTGGCCTAATTCCAAATCCAATCAAATAATAATGTTTCTAGCGCCAGGCTGCCACAGCCTATATATTGGCAAAGTGATCTGGTGCTTACTGATTATTGGATTCTTCATTGAAATCTTTTGAAGTATGATTCCCGAAGTTTAATCCATTAAAGATATTTAATATTTGCCATATTGTGTCATTTACTGGATTTTAATGATATAAATTAGAAACCCTTTTGTTCTGAAAAAAAAAATCTTTACCTTGATTGAATTTATCCAATGCCAGTTTCTACTCTTTCACAGAACAATAAATAAAAAGAAGAATGATTGAATGTCTGTCAACAAGAAGTCATTTGTTACTTTTCAAGGTCTTCCATGTGCTTGCCATATCCTTCTCTCTTGGGATGCATTGAATTTTCCTGAACAATGCCCTTTCCCGTTTAACATTCAACTTCTTTTTACTTCAAAAAGTTTAGTACACAGTCACATGGTAATAGATGAATATAGTACTTTACCTAAACTTAACCATTCATGAATCTGACCAAATCTTAGTTCTATCGTTCTGTAGATCATAGAGATATTCAAAGATCGAACTTAATTTATACTTCGGGCCTCGAAAAGATGATATAATAACTTCTTATAAGTCTATATATGGAGCCATGTCTAATAGTAACAAACGAAAGAATATGGTGAGAAATGACAAACCCTGTTGATCATGCCGAAAATCAAGGTCGGTGGCTTCAATTTCAAGCCCATGATTGAAGGATCACTTACCAAAAAAAAAAAAA